TAGGGAGGGGAATGTGTACATGGCACTTGTTTCGATCTAAGGAATCAAATGACCAGAGGTGTGCTAAGATGAACTGAGAATTTTTACCAAACGTTTCCTCTGTGTACATGGAACTAACTAGGACTTTCCTCCGTTCACTGTTTTGACGCACAGTAAAAATGCTGAACTCTTGGGTTGGGATGTAGAGATACTACTGAATGAGTGATACAAGAATTGCCATGGTGTGTTTGTCATACTGGTGACAGGTGCAGAACCAACTAGGTAAATGCATGTCTTTAAGCTTTTAAATACTCCCAACATGTTTTCCTCCTTTTTCCCCCATTTTTTTTTCCATTTTGTTGTTTTTTTGTAACTTCTAAAAAAAGATACAGACCCAAAATGGCCTTCTGTATGCTTTGAAGGTTCAGAAGAAAACAGAACAAGACAGCAAAATTGCTTTTATACTCAGATATACTCTAATGTACCATTAATAGAGCACTCAAACATTCCTAAATGGGAATTATACTTAGTTACTACATAATTAAACTGTCAAGATGTAAAAAAGAAGTAATTCAGAGTTTGATGTGAAATTCTCAGTTCTAAAGAAACTTACAACAGTGGACCTGATAAAGAGAACATGTATAATACTACAATTCATCTGGATCTATTTTACTACTCTGTGCTGGTTTGAATTTTGGGGGTGGTGATGTGTTTCTCTGCAACACCACTTTCTATGTTCCTATTTACTGTGTAATGCTAAATACTGTTTGTAAATGACCATTAACTATTTATTGCTGAAGAGTTCCTGTAAACACATTAAAATAACCATTTCTGATTCATACAAAAAAATTGAGGATGCTATGATCAACCCTCCATGTACCAGTATTCCCAGAAAACACAAGAAGAGACGAAACGCCACTCGAACATGCTACAGGCCTTGCAGATACACAAAAACCAAAGAAATACACTTTATGGCCAAAAGTATGTGGACACCTGACCGTTTACACCTGTATGAGCTTATTGGATGTCCCATTCCAAAAACCTGGGCATTAATATGGAGTTACACACCTTTATGGCTACAACAGTCTCCACTGTTCTGGGAAGGCTTTCCATATGATTTTGGAGTGTGTCTTTGGGAATTTGTGCTCACTGGCTATGTTTACATGCAAAGAGTAGCGCTTAGAGTAAACGTTACCATGACAGCGAACCTCACGTGAAGTCCAGTCCGCGTGAGATGAGTTTCCAGTTGGCGCGCTTGTGCTATTAATTGCTTTAAAATGATGTCAGACTCGGAAAAACGTGCTTCACATGTACTTATAAAGGAAGCGGCGAGAGGAAAACGTCGTGTTCTGAGACTCATAAGTTGGACGTCCGTCCCACCGCCGTCTTTTAAAGATCAGAGCATAAACTTCGTCTCCTCTGCAGACCAGTTTCTGCTCCGCCATGTTGAACGTTATAAACTTTCGCCATGACGCGACGCACATGCACAGAAAATACTTACACATTCCGATTGGGATGTAATCGGATTCAGGTGTTTACATGGCTATTATTCTTCTATTTAACGGATTATTTGGAGGTTTACCCACCTCGTTCAATCGGATAGAAATTGTATTCCGAATGGCCTCAATCAGACTAGACTATTCCGATTGAGGTGTTTACATGGACGTATTCTATTCCGATTTAGCTATTAGTCGGATTATTAACGGATTATCAGGCTGCATGTAAACGTGGCTACTGAGTCAAAAGAGCAGGCCTGAGAAGGCCTGGCTCATAATCAATGTTTCAGTTCATCCCCAAGGTGTTCAGTGGGGTTGAGGTCAGGGCTCTTTGCAGGCCACTGGTGTTCCTCCACACCAAACTCAAATCATGTCTCACTTTGTGCAGTGGGGCACAGTCATGCTGGAACAGGAAAGGGCCTTCCCCAAACTGTTGCCAAAGTTGGAAGCATATAATTGTCTCAAATGTCTTTGGATGCTGTAGCATTAACATTAGTCTTCACTGGATCTAAGGGCCTGAGCCTAAATGCTGAAGAACGTGTCTGTTGTATGTGCTTGATGTAACACGCCTGTTAGCAATGGGTGTTGCTGATTAGTGGGGAGGTGTTTACACATACTTTTGGCTATATAGTGTATATTCCTAGGAAGGAGCTGATCCAGTGTTTTTGCTCCTGTTCTGAGCACTTAAATGTTGAGTACTGGCTGATACTGTGTTTTCATAGATAATACAGCCACATGATTTAGATACATGCTAGTCTGCTAATTAATACTGCATTAAAATACTTTCATTATAAGCGTAGGCATAACGTGACATTCTAGATGGATATGTTTTGCTTTGTTTTTGAACAGATACCCATTTTATAGTGTGATGAATACACCATGATTTAATGTGCCCCTAATGTGCTCGTAGTAGCCTGCTCCTTTCTTTTTGGTTTCTGTCTTTTCTTTATGCTGGTGCAGCTGCTTTTCACAATAGTTTTGTTTTTTAACCAGTCACAAGTGAAAAACATGGTGGGATTGTATTTTGTGCCATGCCGTTCACAGTAAGTGACAGAAAGTAGTCTAGAAATGTGTAGCCCCTTGTTAAATGTGCCAGTGTTAAGTTGAAAGGTGGCTAGTTCAAACACAGTAGAAACACTGGCGCTGCAGACCGTGCAAGTTTTCATTTTCCACTGTATTACAGCTCAGCTCTGCAGACATTTGCTGAAGATCTTCTGAAAACATGCCTCACTGTTACAGGTTGTGGATAATGCTTGTAAACATCATGTTTATGAAAGTGATGTGAATAGAACACAAGAAAAGACGTAAAGGATTGGAACTGGATCAGGCCTAATATATCCCAGCGTTTCTTAACCCTGGTCCTGGAGGCCCCCTGTCCACATTTTACTGCTTTCCCTGCTTTAATACACACACTTCAACTCAGTATGAGATTGTATATTGAGCTAATTAGTTTAATCAGGTGAATCTACTCCCAATTTGTACAGTTTCTAAATGTTTATGAAATGGCATTGACAGATATGTACACACAAAAAAATATCAGATGTCTGCATTGACCTAGAATCCCTATATCAGTGCATCCCTACTTAACAATATGTTCTGTATTAAATTATTTAAATTTTATCACGAGACGATGTACTAGTAGTGGGCTGAACCTGTATACCACTTGAAATTCGTCTTCAAATATGAGTTTCATCATAACCGCAAACAGTCATATGCCACTTGCACATACACACAACAGGTATGACTACTAAGTGCAGATAACACATCCTACAAACAGTGCAAACCATGCTATTATTAGCCTAATTAGCTATAACATTTTCCAAACAAGAAATTTTGAAACTGAAGTTGGCTTCTGTTGTTTACTGTTTTAAACAATAAAAATATGTTTATATATATTTATATATATATATATATATATATAATGTTTATGTATCTATCTACATCTATCTATATTATCTATCTACACTGGCTCATCATGCATACATGCAGGCCTATGTCTTTGTAGTTTTCAGTGCTGAGGGGCGAGCTCGCTGCAGTGCTGATTAATCAGAGGGATTTAATTAACTTGGTTCTGCATGGCCATCGGACCTGGACACAAGACAGGCTATAAACTCAGCCCATTATCTGTGTGTGTGTGTGTGTGTGGGCATGTGTGTTGGGGCTCCGCAGAGCCCTTGTGTCAGTTTGTCCTGTCTTTGCTACAGTACCTTTCTGCCACACCTCTGAGAGCACACAGCATGGCCACGTGTCCATTTCTCCCTGACAGCACACTTACAGGGCAGCACTGGGGGCATTTGTGATTCACTGTGCAACCTTTTCTGGAGTTCTTCTTCAGGACATGCTCATCTGACATCACTTACTTTTTTAAACTGAGATCAATCTATGGTCTTTGCAGTTTTGGTCTTTTAGCCCATGTATCTTTTGTTGTTTGTGTTTAAAAGGCCCTGGACAGCTTGTTCAGATACATGGCAACATGGATTCAATCCAGCAGATATTAAATCTAAACCTGACTGTCTCAGCCAGGAAGCTCAAACTGGGCCATGGTTGGATCTTCCAGCAGGACAGTGGTCCAAAGCACACCTCAGAAACAACACAAAAATGGTTCACTGACTACAGAATCAAGGAAATCTGTGGATGAGCAGAGTGGGGAGATTCCACAAGCATAGACCCCAGAATCTGAAGGCTCTGGAGAGATTCTGTGTGGAGGAATGGAATCAGATCCTTTGCCATGTGTTCTTCAGTCTCATTAAGCATTAAAGGAGAAGACTCAGACTTTGCAAAGGGAGGCTGCACAAAGTATTAAATGAAAGGTGTGCCAATAATTGTGGATTTGAAAAAAAAAACCAAAATACTAAAAAGATTTAGATTTCATTATATTTAGTAATTATTATACTGTAATATATTTTTGTTAATATTTTGAATGAACAATCAAAAGGAAACACAGTAAAGAATGTTATATCTCATATTTCTCCTGTTTATAGTGGTGCCAACATTTTTGCAGGGCACTGTATCGACCAGCCCTAATTCACATGTACTAATGCACATACACACTCAGCATGCAGTGCAGCTGATGGCTCACACGAGCAGCGCCCACCTTTAGTCGGGTTAATGCTGCATCCACCACTGCAGTGGCCGCTGTTTCTCAACCACATCACCATGGCAACTAAATCTTTGGCTGCACTAGCATGGAAATGGCGTGGTGGATTGCAGAAGGGTTATGGTTACCATCTGTGTCTGTGTAGTTTGCTTCATGTAAGCTAGCTATGTTGTGGAGACTGTGCAGCAGGATTGTATTTTAGGATCACTACACTGCTGCTCTCTTCTCTAGCCTCAGGCCCTTTCAGCCTTCAGCAAGCGGCTCCTCGCCGAGTCACCTTCATTTCACCTTGCTCCTCAGCTGGAGCCACGTGGACAGCAATCAGCTCCCTCCAGCTGCCTGAGGTCTAGATGGCGACCAGCTCTGTGCTGTTAAAGCACTGAAATGCTCGATTAGCACTAACTCAGCTCCTCTCTTCTTACTGGCAGAGTATGGACCCATCCAAGACGCAGCTGCCGTCCGTGACTCTGATCGTGGGCTGTGGGGTCTCCTCCCTCACCCTCCTGCTCCTCATTATCATCTACGTCTCCGTGTGGAGGTAAGCAGAAGCTTCTGCAACTGGTTGCAGAACCTTAGACTAGGCATTGTGCACGTTTTTACAGGGTTAACCCTTAGAAGTGGAGAGTTAATACATTTGTTTTGTGATAGTATTCAAATTTCAAATGTGACTTAGGCAGTGAATCACTTGTAGGTTCAATTTACATTTTGATTCGGCTTTTTTTCAGATAGATTTTCTGCCCACAAAATAAGATTGTACACACAACAATGGCTTTTTATTCAGTTCAAATAGTTAAAAAAATCTTGTTTTCTATTTAAACACAAACGGTTAACACCTTTGGGAGGAGTTCTTTACTTTTTCAGTATTTTCCCTCTGTACGAGCCAGGGATAATTACTGAAGTGCTTTTGTTGTCACCAGCGATGAGCGACTTCTAAGGGTTAAGCTTTATGCAATAGGTCCCCAAAAGTCTCAAGACATTCTAATTAGTGAATTCAGCAGCTTTAAGGTGCACTCATTACTGACACAGATGTTCAGTTGTGCGCACACAGCTTGTATAATCTCTATAGACCGGGTTCCCACATGTCCTGGAAAACCTAGAAAACCTGGAAATTCATAGCTAGTTTTCCAGTCATGGAAAATACGAAAACTGATAAATTATCCTGGAAATATTAGTAAAGTCTAAAAAAATGTAGCATGTTCTTAGCTGCTAATGTCCAGTTTGAGTGTCCTTTCATACCTCCTGTAGTTTAGAATGCTGTAGTGTTGCATGTGGACATTGTGTAAGAATGCTTAGTAGCACCAGCTTCTTGGAGTGTGACATACAGTTCTGTTATCATAGTAGAACTTGGGATGAAATGATGAGTGATTAAGGACTGGTTTGTGAGTGTGAGTCAGTACATCACTCAGGCAGTAAGAAGTCATTAGGGGTTTTATTGTTGACTTAAATGTTAAGGATGTTGGCAGCTGTGTGTCATTTTAAGGTGACTTTTTGTGAGCAACAGCTGTTGTGTATATAAGTCATGGAAATTGTACTGGAAAAGTCTTGGAAAATGATTTTCTAAGGTCTAAGGTCATCATGCCCAATGCCAAGCATAAGCTAGAGGGCTAGAACTGTGTCAAATCTTCACAGCAATGCTCCAATATCTAGTTTAAAGCCTTCCCAGAAAAGTGGAGGTTGTTACCGCAGCACAGGGGGACAAACACCCTATTAATACCCTTGATTTCAGAAGAAATGTTGGATCTCTACCAGCTTTGGCACATATAGTGTATATTACTAAATTAAAACCACACAAAGCTTTTCTGCTGAGTTTAGGAGCTAATAAGTATGTCCAGGTATGTGCTGTGACCTGTTTTGGTTCAGCTTAACTTGGCACTCACTAGTCTATATGTGAATTTACATGTTGCTGATGCATCCAGCCCCTGCAGTTCACTTGAAAACAAAAAGATGCAGAAGGCGGAAGTGATGTACATCTATTCAGCGTATGTTCAACACCAGCAACAATGCTTTGCCAAAGCGACCAAAGGCCTAATAGTAGCAGATCGCAGAATGATGACTGCACTGTTGCCATGCCCAAGTTAGATATGACCGTTCCTAACCTACTGTTTGTCTCTTTAATTTTGTTTAGAAATATGAAAATGTCTGTAGTGTTAAGGCAGCATGTACTACAGAGTTACACGGTGCATTGTATAGTAATTGTAATAACAGAATTGTCTCTGCTGTTGTTGCATAGCATTTCAGTTTTACATCTACTGCATCAAAATCAAGCATATCTTTTTAACAAGACCTGTTAGAAAATGAGCAATCTAACAGCTCAGACACAAAGCAGAGAGCATGCTGACCAGTCTTGGATATTTCTGTCGAGTGCCCTGTGAGTGTGCTGATGAATCATAGGCAGTCACAGTTTGACAAATGTACAAACGTTTTTGTCAAAAAAATAAATAAATAAAAAAATGGTGCAGCCCTATCTTGAACTACTTCACACTGACGTGTTCCTCCACTCATGCGTTTTGTCATATGTCAAGTTATATCACTGCATTATTATTGCAGTATTTTGTTTTGTTTATATTCCTGTGAAGGAAAAAAGCTTTGGTGACAGAGTTTTCAGCATATGTCTGGAGTAATTCTGTCAGAAAGTACAGTGGACACCAAAAGTCTGAGACCACACAGACAATCTGGATTTTTTTCCGTTTAAACCGGAAAATAACCAACAAAGTTTTAGAACTGTGCAACAAATTGAAGGAAAGAAAAGTTATGACAAGAAAATTGAAGACGAAATATTCAAGATTCTGCACTGTTTCAAGGTTTCTGTTGAAATTTACACATATTTGTGACATCGTTTGTTCAGGCCTTTGTACAAAAAGGTCCAATTTTTTTGGAGTCTTATCACTTCCAGTGAAGCCCGTGTTCAGACGACTCTGAGGTGTATTTGATCTGTTGGTCAGAGGCTTTTGCACAAACTTTGGAGTCAAAGTGTGTATCAAAGAGTTTTACACGCAAAAGGGAGTGACACCAAATCCCAAGAAGTTCTGAAATTCATATAAATATTTCACAGGTTCTGCTTTTCACTCAAGTTGTTATGATGTTAATGTATTTTGTAGTGACAAATGTTGTATTGAATTAGAAAAGAATGCGAAACAGAAGCATTTTGTCTGCTGGTCTCAGTCTTTTGGACCCCACAGTGTATTGAAACTTTATTGCTGGATTTCTTTATAAACATTTAAAAATTGAAAACATACAAACGTATCCATTGTGAGCCACAATGAAGCAGAAACAAGTACCAGATTTAGCGATTCTTCATTTCTGCCTGCGTTTGGTTTCACACTGCACAACTTTTAACTCTGCCATAAGCAGCACAGTTCGCAAAGCTAATCAATACACAACATTTTTTTCATGAAACAAAAATGCTGTGCGAGTGTTTTGTGGCATGATGTTCATGAGAAGTGGCAAAAACATGTGGTGCATGGCTGGGATAAAATACTGTAGTTACTGCAACCAGACTCGGTCCTATGATTTAAACTTAAATATTCTATACCTAAATGTTGTATACCTGAATAAATATTTAGGCACCAGACAAGCCGTTGTGCACTCGACTTTGTCTCCTTAGAAAGTATATTGCTCTTCATTGTTTTTGCTGTTTCCCTCAATAACGTATTGTACACACCTAATTTCAAAAAAGTTGAGACAGTATGTGAAAAGCAAATAAAAACAGAAACCAGTGATTCGTTAATCCACTTTGATGTGTATTTTAAACTACAGTAGTAGAAAGACAGGATATTAAATAAAAAGTTTTTCCTTAACCACTCCACTGTAAAGATATGCTCATTCTGAATTTTGATGCTTGCAACATGCTCAAAAGAGGTGATGCAATCATGCTTGGGTATAAAATGAGCATCTGGGAAAGGAAGACTCCTTTCTGAGCAAGGATGGGTAGAGGCTCACCATTCAGCGAATAGTCCAACTGTTTAAGAACAACGGGCCTCATTCATCAACCATTCTTAAAAAGAAATTTCTTCTTAAAACCCACTTACACAGTTTTCATGAAGATTCTGAAATTCACCAATGTTTTATCTGGGATTTGTTCTTAGGTAACAACAGCATCTACACACACTGTGGTTTAAGAACACATCATGAATCTGACAGACTTTTTCTTAGGACCTTTCTAAAGAACAAATTTAAGAAAAAAAATAGGAAGATATTGGTGATTGAGGCTCAAAGTTCCTCATTGAGTGGTTTCCAAGGATTTTTGCAATTTCACCCTCTACAGCACATAATAATATCAAAACATAGAGGGAAAAATCTCTGCAAGGACAAAAACCACAACTGAATGCTTGTGACCTTCAACCCTTCAGATGGCATGGCATTAAAAATCTACATGTGTCTGTGATGGATATCACCACATGGGCTCAGAAATATTATCGCAAATCATTGTCAGTAAACACTCTTAATTTCTGCATCCACAAATAAAAAGTTGACTGTACTGTGCACAGTGGAAGCCATATGTCACCAACGCTTTCAACTTCTCTGGGCTCGATCTCATCTGAAATGGACTGTTGCACAGTGGAAATGTATTTTGTGGTCTGACAAGTCTTGTTGGTCTGACAAGATTGTTGATGGAAATAATGGATGTTGTGTGGGTGGGTATTAGTGGGTAACTTGCATAGGTGTAAAAAGCACCGTAGTGCTGAAAGATACATACATGTTTTGGGGAAACATATGCTGCCTTTTGCTTGTCATATATTTCAGGGATGTCCATTTTTATTTCAACATGGCAACGCCAAGAAACATTCTTCATGCCTTACAATAGCATGGCTGCGTAATCAGAGAGTGTAGGTTTTAGACTGGCCTGTCTGTCTCCTATTGAAAACATGCAGCGCATTACAAGGTCCAAAATATGACAATGAAGGACCTGTATGGTTGCACAGTAGAAGACTTGTATATCAGAAGAATGACAAAGAATTCTGTTTTCAAAATTGGATTAGTTAGTGTCTTTACTCCCCAAACGATTATTAAGTGCTGTTAAAAGAAAGTTGATGTAGCACAGTAGTAAACATACTCCTGTCCCAATTTTTTGGGACATGTTGCAGGTATAATATTTGGAACAAGCTTATTAAAATAAATAAATAAATAAAAACAATAGACTTTATGAAGTAGAACATCAAATATCATAGGGAAAGGACATCCCAGACAAATATGCCATTGTTAATCTACAAAAATAGATTTGCATGACCATCCAAAATTGTTTTATTTGAGAAAAAAAAATGTACATACACTATACTGTGATACATACTGAAACAATCAGAAATCTTAATTATACCGTGATTTAAATTTTTGGCCAGGGCACCCACTAACAGGCTCTATTATGGTTCATTAGCCAGTCCTGTATATTTAGGTTTATGTATGTATACACTAGTATCTAATCAGTATTCAGTATCAGACATCAGATATCAGAATCTGTTAAAAAAGAAAATCAGTATTCAGATATGAGAATCTGTTTGGGGAAAGAAGAAGTTGGATCAGTGCATCCCTAGCTTCTGACAAACGTGTGCAGCATATCTGGTCTGATTGACAGTGTATCAGGTGTCGTTTCTGAGCTCATGCTAAACTGGTGTTTGCAGAGGCAGCAGATTTTATTAAGAGGAGTATCTCCTTCCTCCTGCAGGTACATCCGCTCAGAACGCTCCGTCATCCTCATCAACTTCTGTCTGTCCATCATCTCCTCTAATGCTCTCATCCTCATCGGACAGACTCAGACACGCAACAAGGTGAGAACAGCCCACACTTGTATATACAGACAACTCCCTCTCTGAAGCACTCCATAAGTCTGCTTTATAACCTTTTCTTTATCGGTCCTCTTTTACTTCTCTCCTTCACTATCAACTCCCATTTTCTCTCTCTCTCAGGTTTTGTGCACTCTTGTGGCTGCTTTTCTGCACTTCTTCTTTCTCTCCTCCTTCTGTTGGGTTCTGACAGAGGCCTGGCAATCCTATATGGCTGTGACGGGCCGTTTGAGAAACCGCATCATACGCAAGCGCTTCCTCTGCCTGGGCTGGGGTAAGATCGTCTGTCTGTCTCTCTGTCGGCCTGTTTATAACCATCTTTGTTCAGTGCTTTCTCAGTGCCTCCTTAACTCTTACAGCCTGTTTCTCATGCACAGATTGCACATTCAACACGTTTCAACCTTTGAAAGTTATTATAACCATTTTTCTATACTATTTAATGTAATTGCCTAATTACATTGTTACTAATTTAGTTATTTACTAGGGTTATGGGACAATAATTTAATCTTTTATGCATCATTATTCTCCTTTGAATGGTTGAATGATAAGTCAATTTACAGAATGTTATAATCAGATTTTCACTTAGATTCGTTGTTTCCACTACAGTTAAGCACAGCCCTGCTTGGTGGAGGCAAGAAATGCAGAATTTCATTAATTCATGTTTGCTGTCAGATAGGTCACAGTTTTTTGTGTTTATGAGATAAAAGGCCCAAAACCATTGTAGACATTAGCAACCATCTTTGCAAACTACTAACCATTACTATGAATATCTTTATTACAGTTCAAAAATTTACTGAAGGATTAACTTCAAAACTGCCACATATAAAGTAGTTGCACACTTAATATTTGTACAGAGTTTAGGCTACATTCAAATTCAAATAAAATAACACTACTTGTTTATGACAAGTGCAGGAAATAAAAAAACTCAAGATGCATTGAGAATTGTTTGAGAATCACTTCTTGGCACACTGAATAAAACGGAATCAAATCTTGAGGCACCTAGAGATTTCCACCACTGTTCTTTGCATTGCAAATTACATTTACAGTTAATTCACATTCTGTAGCAACAGCCTTGAGTCTGATTTTTTTACAGAGTTTCTCTTCTTGTTTCCATAAGCTGCGAGTAAGACATAATTCATCTACAGTGATTGCATGCTTTAGTTAGAGGAAAAGAAACTAAAAATAAAGGACGTGCGGTTCTAGGAAAAAAAATTAATTGGTACAGAATCTTTACATTGTGTGGAACCTTAAAAATTTTCCTCAATTGGCTGGTTAAAGAAAGAATCATTGGGTGAAAGGTTCTTTAGGAAACCAAAAGTGGTTCTTCCATGCCATCACTCTAAAGAACTAATTATTTTTAAAAAATGTGACCATCATCTTGCAAGACTGACCTTCTCTCATTGTGCTTCCTGTCTGCTCTGTCCTAAAGGCCTACCTGCTCTTGTTGTGGCCATCTCTGTTGGGTTTACCAAAGCAAAGGGATACGGTACAGTTAACTAGTAAGTTTGCCTTTCTCATAGCCTCGCTTTACATTCTGTCCACTTCACACACTTTTCCCCGTGTCATGGGGTTACAGGATTCAATACTTCACAAACAAACAGAGCGCTGCCTCTTTGCTGAATATCGTACATCTTCTGGATGAAATTACCTTTCTCAGTCTGACCTTTTCTTTTTTCCCCTCCAACCCTGTCTCCCTCACTTTTCTCACCTGTGTCCTCCTCTCTCTCCTTCTCTGTCTTTCCCCTTTTCTCTCTGTGCCCTGCTAGCTGCTGGCTGTCTCTGGAAGGGGGGCTGTTGTACGCGTTTGTGGGACCAGCTGCAGCCGTAGTTTTGGTACTTTCTCTTTCTCTGCTTTTCTCTATCAGAGGGCAGCACCCTCACTCATCCAGATGTGGTGCTAAACAAGGCACGGCAGCACTAATGTAGATCAGAGAAGACGTGCTTGGTGTCTGAAATGTGCTTCTTCGGTTTTGTACTGCAGCTACAAAGCTACACTCTCACTCGGAAGGGTACGTCTTCAGTGTATTTAGTTACACTCTTAAAATAAATGATGCTTCAAGGGTTCTTTAGTAAAGAAAATGGTTCTGTATAGAACCGTGAACTTTTAAAGAGCCCTTTGCACGATTAAAATGTAAAATGAAAGTGCTCTTCAGACTGATGGAGAATGTGCTGTAGATGGTTTTATATAGAACGTTTTTGAAAATGGTTCTATGTAGCACTCAAAAGGTTCTTCTGTTGTTAAGGTATCAAGCTTATAACAATAGAAGAACCCTTTTGGGTGCTATACAGAACCATGTACAGCACCTTCATGCACATTTTCCATCAATCCAAAGATCTGTTTAATCATGCAAGGAGTTTTTTGAGGGTTCGTGGTTCTATATACAACCATTTTCTTTACTAAAGAACCCTTGAAGCACCAGCTTTTTTAAGAGTAGGAACATAATTGGACTGTATTCCACTGTAACTATAGTTTTTAAGTTGCAGCGACTCCATACACCCTGTTTTGACTCCAGGCTTTTTATATATCCATCTGTTTTAAAACATTAGGGCATGAAAAGGTACAAATATGGTCTTTTCCTCTGGGAAAAACTTATTAAAGGCACACGGTTGGACCTTTGTTGTAGCTTTGAGGTTACATTTACATTGTTTGTAACTTGATGAATAGAAATGCACCTGTGCAGTACCCTTGTATCTGACAATGTAATCTAGTTAACAGTTAATGGAAGCTTATTCGTACACGTATGAACTGCGTGCCTAAATCATCACACACTTGCCTCAGCCTGCTCTAAGTTGGTAAGTAAATATCAAATAGACTTGCTCATGTGGTTCCTGACACTGTATGACATACTGTTATGTTCTAGAATGGTGAAAAGTGTCAACAAAACGCAGGCTTCAAGATGGCTGCTACTTCAGAGTCAAGTTGATGCCAGAATTAAAAAAAATGTAATATGACTAGTTTTCTGTGGTATCAGTAGTACTGAATCAAAGTTGGTTCAACATTCCTGTCTGACTGCACACGAAAGAAAACTTGCCAATGCTGACTGACATTCAGCAGCATTGAGTAAAGCACTGAGACAACAGTGTCTATTTTTCATTTTATTTTAAAAAGTGCAAACAATGTCATAGATTATTTCAAACTTCAAGTAAAATATTTCAAAGTTTGAGTAAACACTCTCAGGAATAAAGGTATGAAAGTGTCACTGGGTACGTCTCAGTACCTTTAGTGAGAGAACATAATTGTACCATAATATATTTTGTGAGTTGTATTGACTCCACACACCCCGTCTCGTCTCCAGGCTTTTTATTTTATTGTTCTGTTTTAAAACTTTAGGTTATGAAAAGGTACAAATATGTACTTTTCCACTGGGAAAAACATATTTATTGTACACAGCTGGATCTTAAAACCACTGTTGTACCTTTGAGGGAACATTTACATTATTTTTACCTTGATGAGCAAAAAATGGACCTGCACAGAACCTTTATTTCTTACAGTGAAGGAGAAATTTAGCCACACGCCTGAAAGACTGGTATCTTGATGATCTTGAAGGAGCTCAAGCAGATCACATTGACTTCAGTCTGACAGTTAACAGCTAGTTTTATTAAAGTGTTATCAAGAAATACACCTATTACTATTATTTTTGTTTGAACTTTGTTCATTGTTTTGTGTTTTATTTTAAAATGACTGGCCTGTGATGTTTGATATGGCTAGATACCTCAATGGGGTAAGCTGTACTTCATTGTACACATTGCAAAAAATGACTTGCCATATCAACCTTAATGTGGTAACAAGCTGCTTAACTGGTTTTATTCTCAAATAAATGCTTTGAATGAAACAATGCAAAGCAGAATTCAGTTTAGATGAACAAAAGAAACGTTTTACATCAATTCAGTCTTCAAAAACACTTCAAATCAACTCCTGGTTTGTTTTTTACAGTGTATTGTCTTTGTCCCTCAGTCATATGTAAGCAAAATATGATCTTAGCCTTTTAGTACATTTTTTCTTTTGTTGGTAATGCAACTGTATTATTACTGGTTTGCTTAAATAATATAAATAATAATAATAATTTCAGCAATAAAGGCTGTTTATATTTTTGTTAAATACTGAAAGGCTACATTCAGTTATTCTGTTTGGAATTTCTGTGTTTGTTGTGGTATCAAATCAGGTATCAAGATTTATGTAATTGCACTCATATCGGCACTGGCACCCAATAATGTGGTATCATGACTTATCTAGCTGCTACTACTGTTTTTAGCTATGCTGGGTCTATTTTTATAGGTAACAGTATGTTATACAGTGTAAGAAACCACATAAGCAAGTCAGTTTGAGACTTGACACCGTTTGACACAAGGCTGTGATTATTTATGCAGCTTATACAGTGCTAAATTGGTGGTTATAGAACCATTGTTAGCTATATTAATGTCATAGCTCCAGTACAGAACTGAAGAAGTAAACTTCAGCCACCAATCATGTTTTGGCTGTCCGAGTCTATTTGCAGTAAGCTGTGTAAATTTGTTCTTTGGCCAAGTCATCACTTTAAATACCTCTCATTACAGCTCATGCAGAAGTCTTTAAGACAGTGAAATAAGCTTTTGCAGGCCGCAGACATGATATATCCCTTAAACCATGTGTGCTTAGCTACAATTGGCTTGCGTATCAGCCAAAGCCCTGCAGTGCAATCTCTGGTGGCAAACATGTGTTTGTATTTTGACATCTGTTTAAACAGAGAAGCTTTGGTCATGGGCTTCGGCTGCGGTAATCCGCTCACGACGGCCCTGCAGAGTAATCAGAGTAGATCTCGGCTCTGCACGATAATGTTTTGCGCCGGGAATTGTATTTTTTTTTTTTTTCCGTCAGCAAGACTTGCTGGACAGTGTTGTACAGTGTGTGCTTGTCCATTCACCTGTGTGTTCTCTCTTCTGCAGGTTAACATGGTTATCGGCATTCTGGTTTTTAACAAACTGGTGTCCAAAGACGGCATTACTGATATGAAACTGAAGGAGAGGGCAGGGTATGCCTCATATCATACATCCATCTCACTGGTGTAACCAAGCCTGTAGCACAAAGGCTCAGGGGCCAGGCCTTTCTTTCTCTCCCCCAAAACAGACTGCATGCAAGGAAAGTGGATTGGTAACTGATCAAGCCAAAGAGTCAGAGAGCAGCAGAGGAAGGGACGGAGCTAGACAAAGTGAAGTGTGGCGATAGAGTGAGAGCGAGACGGCGAGTGACAGGAAAGAGAGAGGAGAAGTAAAAAGGTCGAAGCAAAAAAGCACGTCATTTGTTCCAGCAAGGCTATGAGAATAATGATTGAAATGGTTTCTGGTAGACAGAAAACAACAAGCAGGAAAGATGAGAGGTAGATTAAGGGGAGAGATCAGAGAGGACTGGCTGTTGGTCCTGTTCAAAGCAAGATGGCACACCTTCACACATCGCGTTACATTTCTTTTACTGTTTGTTTTTTAATCTACCATATGTGGCTTATGTACATGTGTTCTCAGCTCCTCTATTTTCAGGTGTTGCTATGTTACAGCATATGTTATAAATTTGCATATCTCCATGTCTGTTTTTTCGTCATGGGAAGTGTTTCTTGAAAGGAAAGCAGTGAAGCCCAGCAAAGGCAAATAATTAAAGCAATGTCATATTTCGTATTGCATATGTACACTACCAGTCAAAAGTTTGGACACATTTACCTGTAAGAGTAGCCTACTGGTCACACAAATAGAACAGTCCTACTGAGGCTGCGTCGTGACATCGGCAGAAAGGTCCCGCCTCTCGCAATTGCAGCGCAAAACTTGTGAGGGAACTGGTGAGAGAATATGGAGCCCGTTGCATTTGTGTTGCTTTTTCATTTCTTCACAGAAATGAAGGAGATGTAGTACAATAAACTACATATATACAAATACTTCTAAATAAAATACGATATATGGAAGATATTTGATATATGGACGAATGCTTAAATTAAACAGTGATTTTACACTTTATAAGGTAACAAAAACAAATACAACGACGTGAAAAACTTACATTTTAAAACAATCTATGCTCCAATGGCTTTGTTTTCCGTCATTTTCGTGATGCTGTTCCAAAGGCTGGGAAGGATACATCTGGTGTGACCTCGAAATCACTCGGAACGTAGTCCTTCACTTTGGAACGGCCTTCTTTGACGTAGGGGCCAAGAAATGCAGCCTACCTTAGCTGCAGCCTAGGTTTTGGAGCCATTTTCTTTAGAACCATACATAGGACCAATTGCATGATTAAAGGGTTCTTTGTGTGGTGAAATTGTTCTTCAGATTGATAGAGAATGTGTTGTATATGGTCCTACATAGAACCTTTTCTATGTCAAGCTTGTAACAGTAGAACATCCTTTTTTGATGCTATACAGAACCATTTTCAAAAAAGATTCTATGTAGAACCATAGACAACACATTCTCCATCAATCTGAAAGACCATTTCACCATGAAAAGAACCATTAGTACCATCTAAACAGAACCGTTCTTTTTACTAAAGAAGCCTTGAAGAATCATCCTTTTTTTTTTTACAAGTATGTGAATTTTGTCATAACCTCTATATCATTAGGACATAAAAAAGCACAGATAATGAAACGTACAAACGGTGCAAAATATGCTATGGTTATCCTATTTAGGTGAACAGCTGCGTCATGGATGTTTCAGTTTTAGTAAAAAAAATAGATGAAAACAAAGAAATATCATACCAGTTTTTTGTTAAGTGAGTGGACATTGGAGATAATAGTGTAAGGAACAGCATGGACGCAAACATGGACACAAGTCGGCTTGCCACACTTCCTGGCTGTTCATTTAGTCAGGTGCATCAGAATATGCTGTGGTCTCAAAACGTGGTTCTCGCGAGAAAAAAAATAAATAAATATGGTATACAGGGACATATAGCAAAACTGCAGAAAATGGTCTGTGGTATATTTTATTTTACGTTAAGGTAGATCAAAACGTCTTTAAGATGATGAAAAAAGCACATTCAGATAGGTGTGTCCAAACATTCGACTTGTGTTTAGGGTCAGTAGCTGTTTTATGTGTATTAAATTGAAATCATGTGCCTTAAGTGGTGCCTTACCTGACGTATGAACTGAAAACAGTGATTGCAGCCCTAAATATAGAGCTCTTTGGATTAGTAATACTTTTCCTACATTGTGATTTTACAACTGTGATAGTTCCTCTATTGTGTGCATGGATCATTAATATCATAGAGAAATAACCAGGTGCTGCCAGAGCGATTTCTGTTCCACTAAAATATAGTACTTATTCCTCACATTGTTCTAGACTGCCTGATATAAAGCCAGTGTGGTGTGTTTGACCCACTTTTGACCTCACACTCCGACTGAGTGTTTCCTTTTCTGGGCACTTGCTCTCCTTTGCCTGCAGGCTGCCGTGACCCTCACTGCCGTTGTTTCTGCATCCAACAGCTTCATTATTATTTTCTTTTCTCCTTTTCATCTCTTTCAAATTCCTTCTCTGTCAGGAGAACAGTGTGTCTGCCTGTGCGATGAACTCTCTGACGGACTGTGTTTTGTTTTTGTTTTCTTTTCTTTGTTTTCCTCTTTTTTTAAATTTTTTTTGGTTTTTGTGTGTCGGAGTTAACCACAGCATCCCCCTCGCTCCCACTCAGGGCTGTCCTCTCTGCTTATAGGCCCATCAAGGCCAAACCTGACGTTTTGCAAATATCTCAATAACTGGACCTGAGTCGCCCCCCGTTCCTGCTGTTTAGAGTGGCTCTCAGGCTTTTCCTACAGTCCACTTGACAGATTAAGTGGCTCTCGAGGCTTTGATTTAATTATTCAGAATTTAACTATGTCGAATTGAAGAATGCAAATTAGCCCGGATATGAGACCAGGAGGAACATTACGGTCAAATTTCTGTGTAGATTTAATTTGTGTGATTCGTGTATGTATGTGTGTGTGTGTGTGTGAGTGTTTGGAGGTGAGCAGGTTCAAACTCTCTTCACTGTCCCTGCCTAGCTCTTATTCTCGAGGTTCATACTCCTAACATGTTTAATTAAAGTAATTAACATGTGCTGTGTCTCATTAAGCACAGTGCAGCATCTGCACATGGCTAGCTTGCTAACACATCAGAGATCAGACCATGCAGGTGACAGAGAAAAATAAAGACTAAACTAATGAAGATACTCCCGTATGGAATTAGGCAGCTTCACCAGTAGCAGTAAGTAATCCATCCATGTCCACTATAGTTCGCATGTGAGTGCAGTGAACATGTATAATATATGTTTATATATAAAAGGGAATTCCACAGATTTTTCAAAATTTCCGCATAATTCAGTTGTTAGCAAAGTCATTATCACATCAGAATATTCTAATGTGAAATGGTTAACTGTAGAGAGAATTACTGACTAAGGCCTCTTTACATTGGTGGTAATAGGAAACAAAAAAGTTTCAAGTTGCAGTAATTTATTGCCATATCAGTCGGTACATTGACATAAATTAAAATAAACAATGTAAAGATTGTGGAGTGGAGTTTGAAAGTCTGATAGCAGACGATTAGGTACTGCTACTAAACCGAGATGTTCTACATAAAATGCTTTGAAATCTTTTGCCAGAAGGTAGCTTTTTAAAAAGGTACTGCGTGGGGTGTGAGCTAGATTTGTAATGCTTTCTTTTCCATCCTTTTGCTGTATATAGAAGCAGCAGATGGAAGTTTGCAACCAATGTAAGCAGTATGCACCACTTTCTCTAGCTGCTCTCTCTCATATGTGGTTGCACCACCATACCAGACACATATGGAGAAGGTCACCACATTTTCCTCATTAGCTCTATAAAAGCGTATCATACAGTCTCTATTGCAGCTAAATATTTATATCCAACAGGTCGATTTGCTTCACTCACCAGACAGTGTGGCTGGTTACCCCACGTAACTATGTGAAATCAGCTCAGGCTGATTTTTTTGATGTTAGAACCAAAAATAGAGCTCTGCATTTAAGAGGAACCAGTCAAAGGAAAACCTGATGCGACATGAACACAGTTGTAATTTAGCAAAACTAACTTAAGTTCTGTTCTAATATAGACAAATAATTAGTCAAATCTGCCTTTGTGGACTCATTAATGAAATAGCAGGAGATACAGCGAGTCAGAATTAAGCAATAAATGGAATTACCACCAGATCCACTGAAATGCAGAACTTCACTCACATTCAGCAGAAAAGAAAATGCTATCACAATAAGAGTCCCATACAGTTCTATTAAATGTAATTTTACTTGATTTAATTCAGCGCTAAAATATTTATTAAATGCTATATATTCATACTGATACTAGAAATAGTAAGTATTATTGTCATTACCAACATATTATTGATGATATAATTTTCTATCTTTGTTTTTTTATTATTATTATTAGTAGTAGTAGTAATAGTAGGAGTAGTTGTGGTTTGTGGTGGCAGAAGAATTACTGATAAGCATTGACCCAGTAAGTATATATGGTGTACAGTTAAAATGTATACAAAACAAATATGTGACACTTTTTTAGACCTCACCTGGCTACCCCAAGTAATTTGAATTAGAGACCCCTGGTGTCTCAAATTATTTAAATATGCAGAAATTTAGAAAAATCGTTGGAATTCCCCTTTAAAACTTTACAAATGCTATCTGCTAATGCGAGCTGCTTCACATTCTTTAGGCTACTACGACCAACAAAATGGTGGTGTTGTTTTTTTTAAAGTTAGTCGTATTGAAAGTCTCTAGCGTTTCAGCCTTGCTGGACCACTCCTGAACATTTGTTGCAAACTGCAGTTTTGTTCTCCACTGAAAAACATCCACACAGCTGACATTTTCACTCTGCAGCATCAGAGCATGATACAAGCAAAAAAGGTGGTTATCGGTTGTAAGTACAAGCCGTAATTTCAATATCAGCCCAATAATAATAATTACATTTTCCCATTTATCAGCAAATAACAGAACTTTCACTGATATATTGTGTAGCTGTACAGCTTAGACTGTGTTTGTGTTGTAATAATTCTACCCGTAGACTGAATCTCTCCAGTAGGCACATTTGGCCTAATGAAGACCATCCGGGGACCATAAGGCAGGAGAATTAGTGCTGGGGAAGCCAGACATAAGCCTCGGAAGTAGCTGTGGAAACGCAGTTAGCTCAAAACTGGTCACACTGACCTCAGACAGATCCAGGAGAGAGGGCGTGGTCACTGTCTGACTGAACCTTAATAGCAATCCATTTCCGTTCCGGACAGGATGCCATCAAGCCAGAAAGGATTATTAGGTGTCTGTGCTGAAGTTGCTCAGCAGTGTGCTACTGCAGTCCTGAAGCCCCTCCAGCTTCTACCATAAAGGCTAGTGAAATGACCTTGTAATTCAAAAAAACACTGATTGCTTTTTAATATCACTGCCTGCAGCCAGCTTTTATTGGTTGTACTGGCCTTTAGCGTGGAATTGAATTTCTGATATTATGTGGGTTTTAATCTACATGTCTGCCAGCTGCAGGATCGATTCGCCAGCCAAGAGGCCGGCCGTGCCGAGCTGATGACTTTAATTGTTATTTTGCGAGCAGCCATTTTGTGTCAGTGGACAGTTGCGTGTCGCTTATTAATTTCGGGGGCAGTTTCTAGCGTGTGAATGTGCTCTGCGTGTCACAGCTGAACAGTATTGTTCCTAGGAGAAATAAGCATGTGCATTTCAGATTATTTGTTTGGTTTAGGCTTTTGGCTACAACATAGTATTGTTCTAGGGATCAGTAACAAATGGCAGATGGTTCAGTGTCACCGTGTTACACATAACATCCTGCGCAGATCTGGAATTAAAGAGGGAGTTCTTTGTAAAGTCATTGATATGTTTGTTGGTAGAGAAACTTACTGACTTAACAGTGGTGGTGATAGAAACCAGGAGTCACCATGTCTACAACACAGATAGATCCGTTTCATTCAGTGTACTTACGTGTGTATTCGGATTTCTTATACATAATGTTGATAATAGTAAAACAGAGGTAAATCTTAAATAATAAGTTGTCTTTGGGTGCCTCAGCACCATGAATGAATTTGAAAAAATACGTTTTAGGCCAAACCTTGCTATCGTCAAACAATATCTCACATCAGACATGTTTGGTAACCATTTGGTGCAAAAACCTTCTTTAAGGCAAGATACGTCATGCAAGTATGCAAATGCAAAAACGCTTTAAGCTGTGTAAACAAGCTTATGTGCCTTGCTGCGTTCTAAAATATGTAATGACGCACTTCATAAAGTAACGCAAGCACAAGCAGCGTTTTCAGTGTTGCAGCTTTAGAAACCAAGCTGTCTTCTACCACCGCCGTGCTTTCATCCAGTCAACTCTCATGGCAAATCAGCAGTTTGACGAGTCTGATTCGCTTGTATCCCCATATATATGATATATCATTGCCTCTTCCTTCCAAATAGTAAAAGAAAAGCAGCACACAGGACTCTGCTGTCCACATGTTTCAGTTTTGTGGCTATAGGAAGAACAGTAGAGTCCATTCAGAGATGCTCTGATCTGCCTGTTTTAACTGCCACAGGAGCGTAAGAATGCATGTCGCGTTGTTACAAAAAGACCACAGGTTTGTGGTCCGGCTTGGCATTCTCACTTGAGTATGTTTCTGGCCTGAGCACTTTAGACGTGTGGTCTGGTTCCTATCACCACTGCTGTGAACGCTTCTGACTTGGTAAGTTTCTTTAGAATGGACTATTTCATATCAAACCACTTTAAATGACGTTGTTACATGTTAACAGTTTATTTGTTCTGAACAATTGAAGTTCCACTTCAAAGACATTGTAATAAAGAGGCTGAAGTTACACATATAGGCGTATACTTTATATATTTGCACGCACACCTCATGGCTCTATTATTATTATGCTCCAGTGAATAATCTGTGTTGCCGCAACATGCATGTGTGTAGCATTGTTCTAGCATGGCTATAGGCGTGTATGAGTGCGAGTTATTGTGATCAGCTCGGGCGTTTCCGTGTCTCTCCCCAGGGGAGGATGTTCACACACAACTCAAAGCAAACACGACTGTAGACGGTGTAGTAATATAAACCATGTAGGCTTTAATATGGCCAACATCAAAAAATATAAATCTAATCACACAGTTATCTAATCAGCAAAGGCACATTGAGTTCTGAGCTGGACTGATTGTTTACAGCAGTAATATCTTCCATCGCTGTCCGCCCCCCGTCCCACTTCTTGAATCAGGCCAATTAAGAGCTGAAGAGAAAGTGACAGTGCTGTATGCCCACAGCCCTGACAGAGAGCTGGAAAGGGGATTCTGTGGCCACGAGTTTTGTATGTGTGAGTGTGTTTGTATGTATGTATGTCAGTGTATGTGTGTATTTTCAGTGTGTTGATTTGACTTTGCAGTCAGATGACAGTGCCACTGTACAATATGACGCTCAAATGTGCCAAGTGCGGAGTTATCTCGTCGGCTGACCTTTCCACCACAGCTACCAGTAACGCCATGTTAGTCCTGCTAATTATTTACCAACTCTTTTACTGCTCGACCTTCAGCTTTCTCTTTTCCTTTTCCTGCTTATTTCTTACCTCACTCCTTTTTTTTTTTTCTCCGATTTTCTCCCTATTCATTTCCCCCCTCCCCTTGGGTTCTTCCCATCGAGGGAACTTAGTGACGAACACTGTCTCATGTTAGGTGAAGCCCTTAGATGATATAAGAGGCCATAAATGATAGTGATGCACAGATCCGATACACTGGACGAGCACCCACACTGACCTTATTAAACAGATCGGGTGCTGGCCAGACATTCAGTACTGTTTCTTAGACACATTCGCTCCACAATGCAAGAGTGTCATTTCAAAACATCATACAAATTTGTTCTCACTTTATGTTTTTATGAAAGGAACCGAAGGCTCCACATGCAGCTAATAATTATGAGTGATCATAATCATAACAGGCAAATTGTTTAAGGAGATTCTTTGTTTAAGGAGTTTTTTTGCAAATGTTAAATGTGCTATGTGTCACAATAAAAGCCTCGGAATAAAAGCCCTGTGCAGGAGAGCTAGGCAAACTTCTTTAAGAAGATAAAATACCAGTGTTTTTTGCAGATGTGAAATGCGCCCAGTATTTCTTGACAAAATTCTGCAGTAGGTCAAAATAAAAGTCTGAGAACAAAAGCCCTGTGCAGGAGAGCTAGGTAAACTTGTTTAAGGAGATAAAAAGAGTGTTTCTTTGCTGATGTGAAGTGCGCTCTGTGTTTCTTCACAAAATTTTGCATCATATGTCAAAATAAAAGCCCTGTAAAGGAGAGCATTTCTAACTCTGATAGATATAGATATCTGAACTCATTTTTACTATTTCCTGTAGGCTATCTCTTTTATTTTTTGATAATTTGGAGACAATAAGATGATTACTAAAGATGTCTATGGTGATCAATTAGACTTTGCAGCCCAAAAATAAATTAGACAAATAAATTGTAACAGCACATTGAATAAGCTTTACAAATATTAAATTGCAGAAGGAAAAAATGTCAGATTGGTACTAAGTGTCAGTTGGTATCCCGAGTTGAGGTATCAGCATCAGTATCGAGAGAGAAAAAGTTGGATCTGTGCATTCCTATGAGTGAAAATGATCTGTGTGTTTGCGTGCGGGAGCGTCTGTGTGTGTGTGTGTGTGTGTGTGTGTGTGTGTGTGTGTGTGTGTGTGTGTGTGAGAGAGGAGAGAGAGAGGCTCTCTGCGTTAGCTCCTCTTCGCAAGTATGCATAATATGTGACAAGCAGAAGTGCTTTGAGAGAGGTCATTGTTTATCATCAGATGAGGTTGAGTGGCGGTGTTGTTAACCCAGAGTGAGAGGCCTCATATAGAAAAGGCTTAATATTACAAACGAATGTAAATAGATGATAAGAATGTGGCCTGGCCACTTGGTAATGTGTACATGATTATATGCTGTATTTGTTTGTGTGTAGGTGTCAACACTGAGAGGTAGAAAGGAGGAAGAGTTTAAAGTGGTGGTTGATGCACCTGCCATCTACAGTACTGTGCAAATGTCAGAGACCACCCTCAATTCATTTCATTTCCAGTCAAAACAACCATTATATACAAATTATTTATACAAGTTATTCATTTTCAAGATGTTCAGTCTTAGAAGTTGATTGCATTTTCTGCTTCTCATGATTCAACAATCTCGAACTCATTCAGTGATGTTGAGGTCAGGACTCAACATGAGGGTGGTCAGTCTGTTATTCAGAGAACACCAGCAGCTTCTTTGTTAGAATTGCAAATTTTCTTCTTTTTTATCTGTTTCCTTTTCTCAGTAACAGCTTCTTGACAGCTAAACATCCTTTCAGACTCATAGTGTTGAGTTGTCTTCTCACAGTGGAAGGATGGACAGAAAGACTTGTGGATTTTTTTCAAATCTGAAGCAAGAGTGGAGCTTGATTTTTCTCCTCTCTCTCAAAGATGAAAGCTTTACATACTGTTTACTTGATGCTAATTTGACAGTGGTGGTGATCTACCACAAATTGCATGGGTGTGAAAAATGGATAACTTATACTTAATGGCTGTTTTGACTGGAAATTAAATAATTGAAGGCTGGTCTCTCATTTTTTCAGTGAACTGCATAGTCATACAGTTAATATTTGTATTCATATTTGTACATAAATCTAAAAACTAACAGGCCTCGGCACAGACAATAGAAAAGTCAGTGCTGCTGCTGCTCAAGTGTGTGTGTGTGTGTGTGTGTGTGTGTGTGTGTATGTGTGTAAGCATGCATACAAGATGTAGATGATGAAGTGTCTACATGAATAGTACATCTCTGGGCTTGTCATGCGTGTTACATCTTCCCCTCAGACGACTTGACATCAGGTGACATTGAGTGTAGTTTTGTTTACAGAAAGGCAGGTCCCAGGATGAGGACGTGGAATTGTGTATAATCACAAGTAGCCCCCCCCTCACACTAAATACCACCATTTGTGTCTGTGGGACAGTCATATATTTCTTAGAACTGAAGAGCACAGAAATTACTGACTTAAGCCAAGGCAACTACAGACTTACTATCAAAGCATCAAGAGTATAAAAATCAAGAGTCCATTTGTGTTCTTATCTTTTGTATTAAAAATAATAGTAATAGTAATAAAATAGTAATAACTGTACATTCTACATCTTTTTAGCCGTTTACATTTGCATGTAGAGTACTGCGCAAAAGTCAGAGACCACCCTTTCATTTATTTCCAGTCACTTGCTAATCCAAACGGCCATTGCTTTTTTTTAGTATCAGTAGAAAGCAGAAAAGATTGAATAGAAAATTACAGGGAAGCCCCAGCAATTAAATATATATATTTTTTTAGTATTAAGTTTCCACCCTTTGCCTTTATTACTTCTGTTCTTTTCAGCAAGCTTCTTGTTTTTTCAAAGAAAAAGTCTGAAGGGATATTTTTCCACACCTCCAAGGTTCAGTCTTCGAAGTTGGTTTCATTTTCTGCTTCTCACGATTTTATCTAACTTTATGGCCGTTTTGATTGGAAATTAGATAAATGAAGGGTGGTCTCTGACTTTTGTACATAAATAAATACAAATAAGAACAATATACAACAACAACAATAACAATAATAATAAAGGAAAAGGGCAGACCACCAGGAAGAAAAAGAAAGACAAGGTGAAATACAGTTTTGCTGTGGATTAGCATTAGAGCGCTTCTCTCACGTGCCCATTGCCGTGTCTTATCTCCTTCACTTCCCACCTTTTCATTTGTCTTCCTTTTCTATTCTTCACTGTTCCTTTACTCACATTCACTCCTCCTTTACCTGGTGATCCTCCTCCCATGTTTTGATACATCTCTACAAACATGCATACATATTGTATATGTGAATTATGTACATATAAGAATATGATTGAAGGATGTATGTTCCTGTATATCTTTGTAATGTATTTTAATAAACGTGATGAGCCTGTATCTATACATGATATAGGTATATCGATATGGCTTCATTGTAATCAAACAAAAAGGGCAACTCTTTCACTTAGTCAGTGGACAGAAACAAGGAATGTCCAGACTGGAAAAAGTAATGCAGTTTACTTTTTGCACAATAATAAAATAGATTTATTACATCAACACAGTCATTGCTAGGAGTAAGTGAAGTGCTAGAAGAAGTAATTGAAAAACAAAAATATAGTGATGTAATACATTATTCATGTGAAAAAGATGTACACATTAAATGGATTATACATTCAGTGCATTTAAAAAAAAAGTGCATTACTTTTTCCAGCACAGAGTGTTGAATTATAAATACGATACATTATTTTTTAAACAAATGTGAAGGACTCCACTGCAGTACTTTTTCAGCACATATAGATATACATTATGGAAAAAATGCTAAAATTTAGAGACGAGATTTTCCATAAACTTTGCCCTCTTTGTGAGCTGAAAATGAGCTCAAGATTGAATGTAGTTTTCCTCCTGTTCTGCAGGGCGTCTCTGTGGAGTTCCTGTGTGGTTCTGCCACTGCTGGCCCTTACCTGGATGTCTGCGGTTCTGGCCATCACCGACCGCCGCTCAGCCCTCTTCCAGATCCTCTTTGCTGTCTTCGACTCTCTGGAGGGATTCGTCATTGTGATGGTGCACTGCATCCTGCGCAGAGAGGTGTGTGAACTTTAGCACAATTTGACTGACTCTTGGTCAGTGGGATATTTTTTTGTTTATTTAAATTTGTATTGTTTATTTTGTGTAATTACCTGACCTCACTTTACATGATCATTTAGGTTCAAGAAGCGGTGAAGTGTCGAGTTGTTGATCGTCAGGAAGATGGTAATGGGGACTCGGGTGGATCTTTCCAGAATGGCCATGCTCAGCTTATGGTAATTAACTCAGTAACACTGTTCAGTAGTCATGATTAGTGTTGGGAGTGGTCATTTAAATATATAGACAACTGAACTCATGTTACATAATCAAGTAGTAAAGCATGTGTAGTTTAGAATAAAATATGAAATAAATAGAGTATTTTAACTTTACACTTGTAAGATTATGGCTAAACATATGACATACACCAGTGAGCCAAAACATTATGACCACTCACAGATGAAGTGAATCTCATAACAACAGCACATGTCCAGGTCTGGGATATATTAGACAGTGAGCAAACAGTCAGTGTGTTGGATGCGGGAGACACGGGTAGACATGAAGACCTCAGTGACTTTGACAGGGACCAAATCGTTATGGCCAGACTGAAATGGCAAGCCTCATGGGGTCATCCCAGTCTGCAGATGTGAGTACCAACCGACAGTGGGACAGTGGTCCGAGGAGGGGCAAACCAAAAATCAATGCCCAAGTCACATCAGTGAGCGAGGGCAATGAAATGTATCCCGTTTGCTTTTACATCACATGGACAGCCAGGTATGTGTGCGCCATTTACCTGGAGAAGTGATGGCACCAGGATGCACTGTGGGAAAAAGACAATGGAGAGAGTGTGATGCTTCTGGCAGTGTTCTTCTGGGAAACCCTGAGTCCAGACATTCACGTGGACGTCGGTTTGACATGTACCACTTACCTAAACATTGTTGCGAACCACGTACACCCTTGCATGGCAATGGTATTCCCCAGTCACCTCCCTCAGCAAGTGTTACCCTGGCCTCCAGTTTCCCCAGACCTCAATCTGATTGAGCATTCACGGCATGTGCTTGAACAACAAATTTGATCCTCTTCAGCTCCACCTCACAGCTTACAGGACTTACGGGACCTGCTGCTAACGTCTTTGTGCCAGATAAGACAGGGCACCTTCAGAGATCTTGTACACCTGTATCTTAAACCATTTTTTTTCCCAGGAGAAAAGTACATATTTGTATCTTTGTATAACCTAATAATTTAAAAACAGAGCAAAACAAATAAAAATGCTAGAGACAAGACAATGTGAATGTCATTGCAATTTAATAAAAATAAGTGCAATGGAATATAGACAATTATGTTCTTCCTTAAAGGTACTGAAGATGTACCCTTGAGGGGACCACCCCAATGACAGTGACAGTTTAGTGCCTTTTTTCTGAGAGTGTAGAGTACATTCCTCAATTATAATGTATTGGCTCATTGGTGTACTGCAACAGCTGACGTTGCATCTCACATTAAGTAAATTGGCAACATTGTCCCATTCACACTCCAATCCAAATTTTACTCATGAAGAAAGCATGCCAAAGTTTAAAAACAAACAGCATGTTATACTGTAATGTAATACTATTCTTCACTTTGAGTCTAACAGAGACAGACAGCAGTGTTGTATAATTTATCGGTGCTGATTTGAATTTCTGTGTTGTTAAGATGCATTTAAAATCAGGCTGGCCAATCTGTTGGTCTGTTGTCATGGTTGCAGTCTATGCATACATCTCATTTTGTGCCAAAACACAAAATCTTATGTGACAGCAAACTCTGACTATAAAATTGCAGACTATAAAGGATATATGTGGTTCACCATAGCTGAAAGGCTGGGGAGTCTACTTAAAGAATTAGTTTCTTGTTCCTCTTCCATCTTGTTACTGCTTTCTCGGAGTTGGCATACATTTTTTACACTATAAAAATAAATCAGTAAATCAGCCAGTAAGATTGAGTAGCCTATGGAACACCTCTTAAACCAGCTACACACAATGAAGAAATGTTAAACCATTTGTGATTTCATTTTGTTATTGATACCATTATAAAACATTATAGCATTATGTATAATTTTTGTATAAAAATGTGAGTATTCAAATACCAACAATGGTTCAAATACCCACACTCAGTATATGCCCCTTCCTCCCTTCATCCTGTTTCATTAAGTAGTGTTTTTTGTACCTTCCCACTAAAATGGCCTCCTTCCGTTTCTTTTAGACTGACTTTGAGAAGGATGTGGACATGGCTTGTAGATCAGGTAAGATGATTCATTTATTTATTTTAATGCTTCAAAGTGAGAAACTTTTCCTTTTTCTGAAAATGTTTCACGCACTGAGAGCCGCTGTGACAGCCTCTCGAGGGGTGTGGTCGGCTGTTTTGACAAGAAATACACCACGTTACATACTTGTAATTCGATTTCTTCCAGGAGATTCGTAGTATGATGTGCTTGCCGCTGAGTTGTAATGCTCAGGTAAATAGGGCTGCCTGCTTCCTCGCTGCGCCACAGATACGCTGGCCGCTCCTAATTAAGTCCCTCCCGATGTCTCACTGTCAAACAGCGCTCTCCTCTCTGATATCCATCAAGGGTGGGAATCTGATTATCTTTCTAGACGGGATATCACCAGCATCTAGAGACATAGCATGGCTGAGACACACACCAGCCTGTGTGTTCTGAATGATTTTCGTGTGCGTGGGTGTGTAAGATGTGTGATAGAATTAGAGTTTAATAGACAGTCCATTATCTTAGTGATCCACATCAAAAAAGGCTGCATTCAGGTGCATTTTTATGGTAACATTTTCTGTCATTTTCTTATAGTAACTCCCATGGTACTGTGTTGTTTTCTCTAAGAATCCTTTAGCACTTTGTGCTCTTTATTGCTCCTATCACATATCCATGTCAAGTATACATGACTAGCTAGGTTCAGTGTGCTATATTACCAGGGTGCTTTTGGAATTTGGAAGGTAAAATTAACTTTCATACCTTTAACAAGCTAATATAGTTAGCCAATATAAACTCAAATTTATATGACCTCAAATTTCCACAATATTCTACTCCTACAATAACAATATCATAACAACACAATATCATTATTATTTTTATCAAAGGTGCACCAATCATGAGTTTTTATGGCCAGTTCTGATTTCTTTACAGTCAAATTGGCCAATGGTGAATTTTTTGGCTGTTTTATATATATAAGATAAAATCACGTTTCCTGTTCTTTCTATTAGTCACATCACAACATACATAACATTATTTGATCTTTAATGGGCCAAACTGACGTAAATTCATAATTTAAATAACATTAATAAAGAAAGTAACAGGCCACTGACTATTTGGCACAATGAGTCATGCATGATTATACTATGATATTTTAATATAGATGTACACTTTTTCTTTTACTCCAGCTCTTTTCTAGTAACTTGCTGCAGGTGGCAAGCGACAAAAATAGACTCTAATAGATTCTGCTCTAAAATGTACTTTTGTGTAAAGTTTAAAAGAGTTATTTAAGTTGTCCATGCTGATGTTTAGCTGTTTAGGGTTTGCAGTTTTTGGGCTTGATATGGCAAAACTGGGTTTCATTAATTGGGTTAGCTAGCTCACAAATTAGCAAATCACAGAGGAAGATCCATGAAAGCTTTAAGTTTGAGCTCCTTTTATCTAATCTTCTCAGAAATATTGCTTAAATAATGAATAACGTAATGCTTAATGGCTGTTTTGACAGAATTAAACGAAGATTGGTTTCTGAATTTTGCACAGTACTGTCGTTTTTCTCACAGCTCTCTTCACACCATCAAACTAAACAACAGTAGCTCGCTGTCAAAGCCAAAAATGACTGGCCCCTAATTTTTGCATTGAAACATAATTAGTCATTATTTTTTTCTATGATGCAGCTGCAGTGAACATGGTTAATGATTCAGTTCACTTACACAGCAGGTACATGACTAATAGGAAAAAATAAAAATGACAGCCATTTCAGAAATTTGATTAGGAGTAGTCATTGACGAGTTGGCATATTACCTCAAATGTCCATGTTGTTTCACTTCAAGCCTGTATAATCAGCCACAGTGGGGCTATTAGAGTCATATCTTGCTCTACTGTAATTCAGAAAGAACTTAAGTGATATGTTATCGACATACTAGGCTATTCTGCCTGCCTCTGAAGTGTCATCTGAGTGTGATGATGTGACTTTTTTCTCCCCTTCCAGGCACTCTGAAGCGCTCCTCTCTCCAAGGGGAAGAGAAGTTGGCCCCTCAGCAGCTCACTCTGCAGAAGGGCTCCAATTTTAACACCATGCCGGCCAGCATGGCCAAAGTTCACCTGCAGAACGTGGCCGACTACGCCAGCCACACACTCACACTGCGCCGTGAGAAGGGTGCCATCGCGGGGATAAGCACAGAGCTGCCCGGAGCCAAGTCCATCTACATCTGCGACGGAGAGCTGTTCAAGCAGCTGGATGGAGACCTGAGCCGAGGCCCAGGGGACAGCAGCACGGGCCCCGAGGGAGGAGGGGGAGTGGGCCAGGGTTATGTTATCCTGCCCAACAACAACAACACCACCACCCTCAGGCCGGCCAAGGCCAACAAGGAGGACCAGGCCTCCAAGTACAACATCAGCATCGAGCAGCTGCCCCAGACCAGGCTCATCCATCTGACCAACCCCACGGGCACGGAGCCTGTGCCGGGCTTTGGGCTGAAGACCCTCCCTGCCGAGCGGGTCAGCGTGTCATGCTCAGAAAGGGATTCCCCCGTGCAGACCATCCAGAACATTTCCAGCGAGGCCCAGATGAGCAGCGGTGCATGTGAGCCAGGGGACTCTGGGAATTCAGGCATGATGTCAAAGAGCGAGACCGTCTCCACACTGTCCATGAGCTCCCTGGAGGTAAGTCACATCGGTCATAAGTGCAAATGACCATTTCTGAGACCTGCATAGGAATGTGCAGCTCCTATTGGTTACATTTTTATCCCCCCCCCCTTTTAACCTCAGTTCTCTGATTTTGTTGTGCCATCAGTTGAACCCATTGTGATGTTCATTTACCTGCTGAGGAACATGCAATGTAGTATAAATATACTGCTACTCCATTTTGTACAGCCAGGATATGTTGCTAAAAGTCTCTCAAAATTCCAAATATGAATCACATACTAAATTATGTTTACAATATTTCCACAATACATCAGTGGCCAGTAAATTTTGCTAAATGGAAAAATGTAATTATTATAATTGGTACAGTGTTGAAATTGCAGCTAATTACTACACCTGACAACTTGGCCCCATTTTAGCTTGTGCATAGTGGACATGAGCAGCAAAAAATCTTGTCACAAACAAATCTTTCACTGAAATGGACATAATAGTGGATAACACCACAGCATAGTGGATAACACCCTAGTTCCCATCCAGACAAGTATGCCACTACTGTAGCAGTAAGAGAACTTAGGCAAGACTCCTAACTCCACATTCACTTACCCCTGCAAGTAGAGGTGGGAATCTAAAGGCATCTCACTGTTCTATTCAGTTTTGGTTCAAGGTGTCAAGATGCGATTACAAAACGAAAAAATCTTGTCAAAGCTTGATGCATCTCCATTTTTGATTTTTAAAGTCTACAATATGATTTTCCCTTGCTTTTGTTATTAGCAAGGTTCACTGCAGCTAAGATCTACTTTCTTTTATATTTTTGACTAATATTCTTTATTAACATTAACTGATTTTGTTAAAACCTTTCATGAAAAGCGCATACTAAATACTATAATATTAACTCTACATTTTTAAAAACTATTCCTCTCCTTCTTTAAATGACACATAAAAGTGACTGGTTCTTTGAAGATGATTAATAAACTCTTAACAGATTATCAGTAACGCATCAACAACATATCAGTGAAGGAGCAGTAGCGAAGAATCTGAATGCACTTAGTAAATATCGTGTAGATGTTCTATTGATACATTACTTACATTTAGTAGATGTATTGTTATTGTTACTTCCATTACGCAAAACCTAACCTTACCCAAAACCTAATCCTAACCCAAGTGTTTGTTTGTCATCTCAAAGGACCACTCAAAATAAAGTGTCACCTGAAGTTCCAAAGCCATGTCCATGTGTTTTACATAAAAAAAACTAGGTGTTTCCCATCATTACAGCACAGTTGTTTAGCTATAGATGCCTGTAGTAAACCATGAAGTGCCACTGATCTGACCCATCGGGACACTTCTTGTACAGAAATGCTGAGAAAATGCTGAGACGGTATGCTGAGCTCTGGAAAACCCCCAGCATATTTTTACCTTGTACCCTGCAACTTCACAGTTGCAGAGCCTGTGTAATAATCCAAATATGACATTTACTGAATCAATTCAGAATCTGTTCAGAATCACGATGTGTCTAAGAATCTGTTATTTTTCCCACCCTAATTGTAAAGTGCTGTGTATACGAGCGGCTATAATGCAAACGTTTACAGTACTTGTCTTATCTAATTAAGCCATGTAAAATTTTGTCTGTGTAAAATTAATCAGTTGTCAGTATTTTTAACCTCTGTTAAACCTGTATCACGCTTTGGCTCTTAACGTGGGTTAACGTGCAAACTTAAAGTGTGAAAAATGATCAGTTACTTTTATCAACACCGTAATTCCATATCAGTATTCCATTCCATTTCATTTTGTACATAATTATTCCATTAACACTGAGCGCAGCGCACTGATTGTTGTACAGAGGTCCAAAGAAGATAATCCTCAGTCTTTAAAGTAAGCTAGAAAGGTTCTTGGCATTAACTGATTTGAAAAGACATCTTGCTCTGATTGAACTTTGCTGTGATTGCATCTGCTGCGTGGAACAGCTATGAATGCTGGCGAACCTGTAAAATTTCATCAGTTCCTAAAAGGTCATGTTAGCCTTTAGCATAACCAGGCAGAACCTTGAGTGAGTGTTAATCAAAGCCTGTGTATCATTGTGAGCTTACCTGGGGGCTGTATGGGGATGAAACTTAGCTACTGCGACACTGTTTGCGTGTAGCTTAATTAAGAGAGGATGCTCTGCCTGAATTATTCATGCCGCTAGTGACAGAGTTGTTTTCTAAATGGCTGTGCATTAACTCTACACGCTAAAGGCACTATCATAAGGGCTAAACCGTTCAGTATGTTCAGAGAAGGGGTGACGTTCATTTAATTGTGATGAAAATTATTTTTCCTTCTTTTTCATTACTCCCTATCCTCAGTTCACCTCATCCCTGTTTTGGTTTCTTCTTCTTTCATTCCTCTCCTCTTTATCCGGTGCATTATGGTTGCCACAGCTCACTAATGGACTTCTTACTCAGTTGCTCATGCAGATGTAGTGCAGTTTGCCTGTCGAGCTGGAATTTCATGCGAGTGTTTATTATGTATAAATCAGAAGGAGAAAGCATGTGAAGGAGGAAGGATTGGGCTTCACAGAATTGCACTTTGCCTGGCATCAAAAACACTTTTTGTAAAAAGTGAATAGGAGTGAGACAAAAAAAAAGGAATAAAACGGAAAACCTAGCATTTTACAGAAGGGCAGCATTTGTAATGCTACGACACCTACATGAAAACTGACATAAACTATAAAATATAAAGGTTTATTCCAACAAGTATCAATTTACATAAAAGCGGCTTTTGTCCCTTTTGATGACATTTAAATGCAGCGTTATGACATTGTTATGACAACTGACATTTGCAGGAATAAGCCTTAATAAATGACTGTAAAGTAGGACTGACCCAAACAGTTCAAATACTGAAGTAATAGTTTATTTATATTCGATTCAGTATTTAGTATTTGGAAGCCATTCGGAAAATAATTTAGCCTAAATATGATCAGGTTTCATTGGCAAAGGTATTTAAAAAGGATACATGATTGTTACTGTATGGAAAATGTAAAAAAAAAGAAATAATAAAGGGTAGCTGGAGAAGTTTAATGTGTGAGAAATCACATTTGGAATCACTTTAAATTACTAGACGATAAGACAAATGCTTAGTGCAGAATGTACGGTGAGAGGTTGGTATGAAGGCACTATAAGTTTAATGAATTCTTAAATAGTGGTGAGTATAATGATACTTATCTAAGTACCGCTAGTCTCTGGGGAGGCCGACGCCGATGTTCTGTCAGTGAATGAGGCAGGGAACACCGGCCTGTAGCTCCAAAAGCTCCTCCGGTCTTCCACTCTCTGTAGCTAAGCTGAGCTCAAGTCTGCCTGCATGTCACCCTTGCTGCTGCTGTGCATGATAAAAAAAAAAGGTCAAACTAGCCAAATAAAATAACTTAACAAAATAAATAAAAGCAACTAAGTAAAACAAGCTACAACTAAAACTCTGGTAATGAATAAAACAGCAGTTCTAACTTAGTGTCTGTGTGACTCATAAAAGCTGTATTTGAACTACAGGGCTACATTTGCAGCTTCTAGAGCAGCACACAGCAGGCTTCAGATGACTACTAAAGGGGAATTCCACCATTTTATGTAAATTTCTGCATATTAAAATCATTAAGATGTAAACACAGTCATTCAGAGTAGACTGATTTGAAATGCTGTTCTAGAGAAACTGATGTCAGATTAAAATCTTTTTAAAGCTCCCTCATTTAGATCTTTTTAAAGCTCCCTCAGTTATTACATGCAGTGATTACGAATGCACAAAACATCTTTTTTTTGTTTTGTTTTGTTTTGTTTTTAAACACATTTATGCCGGGAAGGTACTTGCAGGATGTTGTGAAGCAAAACAGAACCCAAAGAACGCTTATTTATTGGATTTACTACTTTACCCAAATTAACATTACATATTAAAACTCAAAGGATACATGCAGTTCACTTGTAATTTAAGATAAAGTAAATAAAGTGGTAATATTTGTATTACAACCTCTGCTTCCTATCAACACCACTGTAAAGAAATCAGTAGTTTCTCTACAATACACTCTTACTTTGTTTACATCTTAACCACTGAATTCTGGAAAAATCTGTGAAATTCCCCTTTAATACATAATTGCTGCCTACTGAATATGTTTTTGAACTGCAGACACACACATTTTCTAAGCTGCTTATCCTTCTGGGCCACGGGGGTTTTAAACTGCAATAACAAAAATACTTAAAATGATGGTTAATTATGAAACATAAATTCAGGTGACATACCAAGACCAATGTTCATCTGTCACGAAATGCTCATATACGGGTCATATAGCCTTATGAAGACTGCCTTTGGGTAAAGTGTTACCTAAAATCTTTCATTCTGTAAGTAGTAGCGTGTGTAGTATTAGGGGAAGCGGGGGTGGGTTGTGTAGACAAGTTCTCTCCAAAGGTCAGTTCTTGCTCACGTTTTGAATGTTAGCCAGAGACTAGCGTGGACAGCACAGTGACCACAGAGCACACACTCCAGACCGCATCTTCTGACCTCAGGCCAAACATGCTCCCAGAATGCAGTGCAGGGCAGCAGCTGCGGTGGTGGCGGAGCAGGCAGAAGGTCAGGCTCTCCTCAGACGCTTTCTGACAGGCTAACAAAAGGCCACGCGGTCACAAGCTGTTTACTGCACGCTTATGCCAAGGTCTCACGAAAAGCTACTATACACACAAAGCCCTGACGTATTACTTTCTTCCTCCCCCTTTTTCCATTTTTTTTTGCCCTGTTTGTATCATTTTTTAGTAACACTTTACTTGAACCCTGCTACATAACATTGACATAACAAAGCCATAAACATGTCATAGCAGATGTCATATACTTTCGTGAGTCATAACAGATTTTGCTTAGTAATTTAACAGTGTCATGTTACCATTATCTGTAGTTGTCATGACAAATGCCATAATACCTGATGTCATGACAGCTTATGTCACATGCCATTTAGTTGGCTGTCTTGACAGCAGACATTATGACATACTTGTATGTAATGAAAATTAACAATAACATGACAACTGTATATTATTGAACAAAATCTGTTATGACACTCATGACAGCAATATGACATCTGCCATGATGTGATGATGTCAGTGTTATGTAACAGGGTTTAAGTGAAATGTTAGCCTTTTTTCTCTAATCCAGACTTTATTTTCTGTCACAGTTTTATTCTCACTGATCAAACATAGTAACTCCATCTTTTTTTACATTTTCTCTGTGTAGAGACGAAAATCACGCTACGCAGAGTTGGACTTTGAGGTACCTACATTCACCCCCTCCATTCCATTTTTCTTTCAGAATGATCATTAACCATGTGATCAGTTACTTTAAAATATTCGTTTTCTCTTATTCACTCTTGCAGAAGATCATGCACACACGGAAGCGCCACCAGGACATGTTCCAGGACCTCAACAGGAAACTGCAGCATGCAGAGAAGGACAGAGACTCTCCTCCGGTGGATGGCAAGCCTGGGAAGAGGTGGAGCGTGTCGTCTGGAGGCAGTGATAAAACCAACCTTAGTGTAAGCTTCAATTCATATCTCTCCATTATCATATTCTCATTTTTTAATCTTCTCTCGCCTCATTTCTTACCTCATTATACTGGAAGTTTAAGTTGACTTGACTTTTTTGTACAGCGTGGTTCAAACACAGTTTTTTCCCCATAGGAAATGAATGGTAGGATGTTGAGTAGATTCAAATCTTAACTGCTTTAAACGATGTCACAAAGGGCATTTTTCACACCACCCATCATAGACGTTACATACGTACATACATACTCACATATATATTTACACATACTCATAGTATGCGACTGCGTCATTAAGATCACATTGCCATGTTGGTAGGCAAGCTGTAACTCTGACTGGGCTCTGATAGAGCTTGTCTCATCAGCGTTACTGCAGTTACAACCCTGCAGGTTGCTGAAGACTAAAAGCAAAATAGCTCAGAATGACCACGAAAAACATGTGGACACTTTAGATGCAGTCTCCAGAAAACGCTACGAAGAGAAGATTTGCTAGATTGGTGGACTGGATCCGTATAGCCTGCAAGTGGCTACCAAACCTGCCAAAGCTCTTAAATAGTGAACTCATACACATATATAAAGCTGAAGTCAGCTTCTTAATCGCCAGCTTCTCATTTGAGTTTTCCGTTCCATCCTAAATGGTGCTGCACCATTTGAAAGTTGGCAAATACAAAGCCAAGAACAGCTTCCCTCAATAAATACATTACCTCAAAAATGCATCAACAAATACCTTAAACTTTTACTTGGAAATGTTTAATGAGTAGCTAACGAGCAGCACAGCAGAGCAGCTTTTGAACGCAACTGGCTGATCTAATTTTTACACACCTAGTATGTTTTACACACTTAATGTGCTAGTATTCAATTTGGGACGGGGCACTAGCAATGCAGTGGGAAATCTAAGCCATCTAAATTTCACCTTTCATTTGTGATCACTACAGCAACAAATCAAATAAAATCAAGGCAATACACACTCAAATATGTCAGTTTTGATCATTTTTTAAATGAGATTTTAAAAATTATCAAAAAAATAAACAAAAGAAAGTTTTCTTGCCTTTTGCTGGATCTGTTATGGCTTGATATCTCATTACAAACTGACACAGCACGGCTTAATGAACTAAATGAAATGAAATAATGTTGCCTACAAAAGTTGTGGCAGTGCGAGTGTGATGTCATCAGAATACTATCAGTTAGCAGCCGCCTGGGATACCATAGCACCGGCCTGGCAATACCTTACCAACCACCTGAGATACCATATCAATAGCCTAACAACACCTTAGCAACTAGCTGGGATACCCTAGCAACATCTTAGCAACCACCTGAGATACCATAGCAATGACCTAACACCTCCACATATTCCTTTTTTGTTTCTTAATCAGAAACGTTGTTTGTAACACAAACTGAATAAAAAAAAAACAAATTCTGTTACATGTCAAATAAATGCAGCAACAGCACTGAGAAATCACATGATTAGCAGAGGAAAGCAGATTAAACTGCTGAAATAAGCAACAGGAAAGCCCACAAGGTGCCCTCCTCCAAAAGTATTGCTTCCTTTTTACCTCCAAATTGAGAGCAGGATGAAAAAATCACATTCCTCGTGAGCACGTCTCAACCTGGGGATAACATTTATTAGCCTGTCGCTTACACATTACTGATAAATGTTGTACTTGTATAATGTTAAATTCTCTAATAAACTGAAAATGTAAACTTTAACATATTAGGCACATTACATAACTCACATTTTCAGCCACTTCTTAATGTCTTGACTTGAGACACCACTGTATTTAATTTTTTTTAAACATTACACCCCTACTTTCTTCATATTCCATCTCTTTTTTAGGCTCTCTCTCTATTTTTCTTTCTCACATCGTTGTCAGTATGTTTCTTTACTATGTTTCCGCTTTCCTTGTTCCCATAACAGGACAAGCAGCAGACTCCCAGTAAGCGGGCATGGGAGGGAATCAGGAAGACGCACTCTCCGCCGTCGTGGGTTCGGAAGGAGCTGGAGCCGCTGCAGGCGTCTCCTCTGGAGCTGCAGGCGGTGGAATGGGAAAAGGCCAGTGCCACCATCCCTCTGGTGGGTCAGGAGATTATGGACCTGCAGACTGAGGTCTGATGGGCCTCCAGCACTGCGCATAGGCTTGGAACAAAACCGCTCCACTGGCAGGGAAGAGAGAGAAAGTGAGAAGTGTGCAAGGGAAAAAAAAGAATCCGGAAAATGAAACAGCGACTTCGTCAGTGTACAATTTGTTTTATTTTGATGCTGGAATGGCCTTTCCCTTAATGTCAAAGGGAATCGTAACACTTGGGTCCGGACATGTTGCTATGGAAATGGCCTTGCGTTACCCAGATTTGCTGGAGTTTTAGTGGTGACCCTCTTTGGCATTCTGGGATGTCGCCATGGGAACGTGGGGAGTGACTGATAAGGAGGAGAAGAGAAATTCAGGCTGTGGTTGGAAGGAGCCTGAGTGTGTGGCCTTCAGTTTCTTACACTCTTCTTGGACACAATAACACATTCATCTCTACACAGAAAATATTTAAGACCATTACAGATTAAAAATACTTGCATTTCTAGCTACATGAAGCCTTCAAATGTCTAGCAAAGGTCTGGAAAGCCACAAACAAACCACTGGGAAACCTCATTTCATGAGCAATCACACAACATTCTGTCATGATTCTAACTGGTTCTAATGAAATTATTATTATTATTATTATTATTATTATTATTATTATCAATGTGCCACAAAAAGCAAATGCCTATGCTGCTTCGGCTGTGATGGGTGGCGTGGTGGTAGGGTCTCCGCTACCTGAGCACAGAGGCCAAAGCCATCCGCATATGACTGTTAGTAATGAGAGAAATGCCTGCTCCACATGTCCTCCGTGATGCAGTGGGGGATTTGACCACACAACCCTACTGAGCCAAAAGCGCCCATGTCCATGCCCGTGTCCCTCCCTTAATTCCCAGAATCAGCCAACGAGCCATCCACCACACGCCAACCGCCCATGGATGCTTCAGAAACATCTGTGCGAGTCCAGGATTTTACCGCCAAACGCCTCATCAGCGAGAGACACTCATAGAGGCATCCTGTCGAGGGAAACCTTCAGGTGCAGGTGTGAAGAGACGGGGCATGCCCTGCTGGATCAAAACAGACAACCCATCTGTGGATGTGCCGTGGCATGAAAACGATGACTCTGTTCGCTTCATGGTGACGCCTTGACAAACTCATTAGAACTGTGGAGGGTGCTGATCACAGCAAGCGTAGAGCAAGTGAGCTGACTGCACTCAGAGAGTACGAGTATGTATAGAATCATGTCGGAAAGCGCAAGCCGAGGTAAATGAATATACAGTATATATACATATGAATATACCTTATAAATAGATATGAGAAGTATATGAATTTGCAGAGTTTGATTACGTGGTCAGTGGATGGTTTCACATAGAGAAAGCACAAGGCTCACTCCTCAGAGTCCTGTTGTATAGCATTGTAATTATTTCCAAAAAGAGTTCTACAGAATGAATTTTAGCCTATAAATATCTTTCTTACTGTGCTTGGGGAATATTGTTATTCTTATTATAAAAATCATTGCGATTATGAGATCCCCAAATCTTGTCAGGTTACTGGACTATATGAGTGTTCTGTAACTCCATGTAACAGTGTGTGTTTTAATATCACTGACTGTCACGCCAGGAAAAAAAAATCTGTACTTGTCTGATCTCTCCGTCCCCGCCACCCCTCCACTCTCCCTTTTTTAGTTAATCGGGTCTCTTTGTTAATGTACAGTTTTCAGAGCACAAGATGAATGTGTCATATTTCTAATAAAAAATACCTATATAATGATTTGTGAAGTGTCATATTTATATGTACGCCTGCCTGCCTGTTCTTGCTTTGATTGTATTTTGTAGCACTGCGCTGTCACTTGCAATTACACTTGTAATCTTCATATAATCTACATATAATGTTGATACAGACGAGTGACAAAATTACCACTTGCAAATGAGTAATGGATGCATTTCTAAGTCAATCACAGACATTTGTAAGTGCTACTTCCTCCGTAAAGCGAAAGGGAGACTCTGACAGAACAAACCTGCAGTGAGAACGGATGTGGCAGTAAACTAGATGGTAGCTTGTAATTCAGACAGTCTGTTTTTATTTCATTCCTAAAGCTGAAAACATTTTGGATTAAACTGTATGGAGGACCAACGTTACAGCTCCAAAACAATGTCCAAAACAAGCAGATAATGCTGGCTAGCATCTAAGGTAAGCCACACGTTATGGGTTTTTGTGTTTGCTAACACTATTTTTAATGTAATTTCTAAAGATGCCAGCTAGCAAACTTCGCTTTTCATGACTTAGCTGTTGACAGCTTTATAAATTAGTCAGATTAAACAGGACTTTTCAGGGCTTACATTTGTGTTTTAAACATTCTGTGTAAAGATGAATATTAATGTACAGGTGCCACTATTTATTTTGGTTTCATTAATGTTTGCTAAAGGTTTTCATGTAAAACATGTTCTCAGCATAACATTGCATTGAATATCTCTAGTGTTAGCCTTAGCATAAGCTCATCTGAAGGGGCAGCTTCCATCACTCAAACATCCCCCTTATTAGAGAGGAAAGCCAATGGCTTTAATGTCCAGTGGTTAAATGATTTTGCTGGTTTGATTAAGGAATCTTAGAATCTTTTTGCTTCAAACTATTTTATAAATGGTCATTAAAAGCAAAAACTCCAGACAGTTGTACTGCATGATATGACCTTAATGCCTGACCCCCTATGGTAAGAGGGTCTGGTGGCTCTGTTATACTGTGGGGGGCATTTTCCTGGCATGGTTTGGGTTCACTTGTACCCTTTGAAGAAAAAGTCACTGCAAATCACTATATTCTGACTTATGACCTTTATCCTGTGATGAACCATTTCTGTCCTGATGCAAGTCTCGAAGAGCACCCATGCACAGGACAGGATGAGTCACTGAATGGTTTGAAGAGTCTTAAGAAATGATGTAAAGCATAATCTATGGGCTTCATGGTCACCATGGTCCAATATCTAACATTTCAGGGCTGTGTTTTATTGTTTTCTGTTTAATTTACGTATTAAGTTCACCAAAAATGTTAGCTAGCTAGCACTCTTTGAAGTCTTGTAATGTAATATAGCCTTATCATTGCGAATTAAGTAGTATTAAATCCCACACAGTTATATGACAATATTTCTGGCTTCATTAACATCTTTCATACTTTCGATAAAGCTGGTTTACACAGGTTAGCTGTTTTCTATTTACATTTACAGTTTTAACCAGAGCAACTTAGCATTTTAATCATGCTACAGATGTGGGCGAATAAAACGTTAGGAGTCTTACCCAAGGACTCTTATTGGTGTTCGGTGTTGTGCTTGACTGAGGAGCGAATCGAACCCCATCCTGCTGTGTGGAGGGCAGAGGTATCATCCACTTCACTATACCAACCGAAAAAACTACCACTGTTGCATTGGTCAGGAATCGGTCCTGGGTCTCCACCAGGCCCGGACTGGCCGTCAGGAGAAACGGGAGATTTCCCGGTGGCCTGGCCTGGACGGCTTGGCTAGATAATGTTTCAGCTTATGATGAACTAAACAACACAGTACAGCTTGTGAACAGAGTCTCTGCAGTGCTTTTCGCGAATCACGTCTTTCTGCCGTGACGTAGCACGTAAAAAACACACTCTTTATCCGCTCGCGCGCATGAAGAGCGAGTTTGTGCTAATCGCGTCTCAGTGGAGAAGAGGAGAGGTGGCGCGGAGAGGGAAAGGATAAAAAAGAGAAGGACTCGAATAAGAAGCTGCTAGGTGTTCAAAAGGTACTGATTTATTCAGCAAGGGAGCGACAGGTCAGTCATGTAAGAACTGTTTAGTTAGTTTAGGTTTGCTCTGGTTGTGTTTTGTAGCCTACGGCATCTTAACGTTAGCCAGCCAGCAGTTGAATATTATGATTCGATGCTTCATTGTGCAGCCCAAATTCACTGAGCCCCGGAGGGGACGGAGGTAAAACTAAATAATTAATTCAAGTGAACGTTTTGCAGTTCGTACGCACGTTTTCTCTTATTCGTGGTCACGATTTCTTAAATCGTTCCCATCGTTTTCTTTTAATCGTGCGCACGTTTTTTTTTTACTTCGTGGGTACGTTTTTTTTAATTCGTGATCACGATTTTCTAATGTTTTTTTTTGTTTTTGTTTTTTTTTACCGTGGTCATGTTTTATTTTTAACTGAATGCACGTTGTTTGTATTTTGATAACATCTCCCTGAGACTGTCTGTCAGGTTTTGAATTAGATTGATGAGATAACAAACAGAGATGCTCATCAGGTTTCATTTTGATCTGTGGGGTTATGAGGAAACTGCAGCTCCTCTTCACAGCAAACGGCCCTCGGTGGTTAGAGATCGTCACACAATTACAAGAAGAAATGATCAGCGTTTCCACATCCTCACATTAATATATCTACATCTAATCCATAGATCTATTAAACTCTCTTGCCATTTGACCTCATCCCACATGAATGTTTCTATGTGTGTTTAATTTGAGTTTGTTGAAACGTTGACGCTGACCATTTCTTCCTGTAATTGTGTGATGATCTCTAACACCGCAGCTTGTTGCGGAAGCAGAAAAAGCAATAAGAGGCCGCGCTGCTTCTATATCTCTGTTAAATATAATCATTAGCCAGTGCAGTTTAGTGAAGATTGTGGTTGTAGTTTGTTGTCTTCCTTCATTTCACCACCGAACTGAAGCTACACTGATGAATCTGAGGGCCGTTTGCTGTGAAGAGGAGCTGCAGTTTCCTCATAACGCCCCACATCAAAATCAGACCTGATGAGCATCTCTGTTCATTATCTCATCAATGTAAGTCATCAAAACCCGTCAGACAGTGTCAGGGAACTGTTAGTTACATCTGTACAGGACAAAAAATAAACAACATGCGTTCCCTTAAAAATGAAACATGACACCAATTAAAAGAAAACGAGAGAACGAATTAGAAAATCGTGATCACAAATTAAAAAACGTACCCACGAAGTAAAGAAAACGTACACACGTTTAAAAGAAAACGAGGGAATGATTTAAGAAATCGTGACCACGAATAAAAGAAAACGTGCGTACGAACTGCAAAACATTCGCTCTAATTAATTATTTTTTTACCTCCGTCCCCTCCAGGACTCCGTACAAATTCACAAAATATAGAGAGCTACTTTTAAAAGTACAGTTTTGCCAATCAGTATGCAACAGTTTGATTATTTGTGACTCTTCAGAAGATAGGTCTTGATGCTTGCAATTAGCATGAAAAAGTCAGCTTTTCAATTGATGCACAGTTGCTCATTCATGGATGTTTCAAAAGCATAGGTTATATGAAACAAGTGTGGATCTGATTTAGATGCATTTAAATTCATAATTACCTTTGTGTTTTCATTTTTTTCTTTGCAAAGGTGGAGCTGCAGTACACAACCGGAAAGAGAGCATAAGACAAGTTCAAGTTCAGGGAGAGCTCCAGGTACAGCTTACATTAGGTTTACCTAATAATTAAAATAATATATAAACACATTGGGGTACCCAGTGTATTTATGGGGATATTGTTAAAAGTAGTTATCTCAGCACTTAATGCTGGGTTCTTAAAGAGCATCAAGATTTCATATATCCAAGTATTTAAAGTACTTTATGATCAAAGCATTATTTACACCAAGTGTGTGAATCAAAAAATCTGGAACAGTTTAGGTGACTGAGCTGGTAATTAAAGAGTGAACAGTTATGGAGCATATTTTGTATTACCTTAAACATACATATAAAAACCCATACTAAACACCTATTCATGCAGACACGGTAGCTGTTCGTGTGTGGCCTGAGTCTTGCCATGATTCCTGGCCTGAACAACTGTTCCAGTCTGGCCCTGGTCTCCACCGTGGCAGGTGAGAATTCTACCACTGAACCACCATTGTAAAGAAAGCCTGCAGAATGTCACTGGTGTTAGTGTTGCCATTTCTGAATATAAAGGTTAGTGAATGCACATGTAGCTCCAAACACTACACTCCAAATCCAAAGCTTTTTTTTTTTTGACTGTGGGGATGGCATCGGATGGAGCCCTTGGTATGTCCTTCAGGTCATCGCTTACTGAAGGAGATTTTTTAAAAATGCAGTATCTTCATGTAAATTGCTAATCAATGCAAATACATCAACAAGGTAAATTTTAATCTGTTATTCTGTAATCGAGTTTGTTCAAGTAATAGTGACAAGCCTACAACACGTGCCTGTTGAAGGACAACTTGTTCTTCTTGAACAATGAAAGATAAATAGTGCACTATTGATCTCAACATTTGCTTCCCCATCCGCCAAAAACAAAATAAATAAACAAACAAACAAAAACCTAGGGAGTGGCGCAAGATTGGCTGTGAGAATACTGAGGTCTAGAGTTGCCTATGTGTGATTAGAGGACAGAGAGAGGATGACTGGAATAGCCTCAAAATTATTTACACTCTATGAGCAGGAATCCAATCTGGACAGCAGAACAGTCTGCTGATAAAGATTTAACCGATCATAAATACAGGAGAAAATAAATGTCATGTGCGTTATTAGTAGATTTAAAGAATATAGCAGGGTGGGAACAGGGGGGAGTTAGGCACAGGGGAAGTGCAGCCCTAGCACAAAGATGGCATTATTTTATGTCAGAGCAGAGCAGCCCAGTGTCTTTACCCTAATTATTCTGGTCTTATTTATACTCCCTCCTTTCATAATACATCAAATGAGGGGCAATTAACGAAGAGTGAATGAGTGCTGTAATGTAATAAGTATCAACAATGTTTTCACAGTGTGTTTCAAATATCTGCAAGGTTGGGGTTAATGTAAGGGATTTTCAGTGTGGTCAGCAGTATGCATAAAGCGTTTCTAAGTTGGATTGAGGTTTATGGCCTTGAGCTGCTCACTGAAATAAGATCTATCACCAATTCTTCCAAGATAATACTAATCCTTACAGCAGTGATCCTTATGTCTACACAGCACAAAAGTCAGAGATGACCATTCATTTATTTAATTTCCAGTCAAGTATTAACTCCAAGATATTCATTTTCAGCACCAGGAAAAAAGAAGATAACATTAGTTTGACAGAGAATTACCCATAAGCCTCAACAACTAAACACATCATCGTATTTTCAGAATTTAGTGTATCCAACTTTGTCTTCATCTTTCTCTCAGCTCCATTCTTTTTTGCTTATAGTTTTTCAAAGAAATCTGGGAAATTTTCCAACCTCCAAAGTTTAGTCTTAGAAGTTGGTTGCATTTTCTGCTTATCATGATCCAAATAATCCCAATTCAGTGATGTTGAGGTCTTGAAGCTGAGTTGGTCAGTACATTGTTTCAAAGAACACCAGCAGCTTCTTTGTTTGATTTTCTTCTTTTTGTCTATTTTCTTTTTTCAGTAAGGGCTTCTTGACATATACACTCCTTTCGGAGTGTTGAGTTCTCTGCTCACAGTGGAAGGATGGACAGAAACACGTGGATTCTTTCAGATCTGAATCAAGAGTGGAGCTAGATTTTTCTCCTCTCTCTTAAAGATGAAAGCTTTAAGTGCTGTTTATCTGAAGGGGACAGTGTTGGGTGTCTACCAGGTCTTGCATGGTTGTTAGGAGTCCTTTTTTTTTGTGTCTTTTTAATCTTTTAATTGTAGTCATTTGTATATTTTCCTTTGACTTTCGTCTTCCTTGTACTTGGTGGAAAGTTGGGCTGGAAATAAAATAAGTGAAGTTTGGTCTCTGACTTTTGCCCAGTACTGTACATGCAGGAACCCAAAACTTAATTGTATATACATGGTAATCCAGTGTAACATGGCCCTTTACATGCAGACTGAAGCGTTAGCATAACTGGAAGCTATGTACAAGCATTTAAAAATAAAGTTCGATAAAAATAATAAATGATAGATTTTTTACAGGATGTCAATTAATGATGAAAAGACCAAAGAGTCAATATATATTGACATTCATCTATCAAGCATCTCAGAGTAACAGCACTGATCAGGTCTCATAAGGTCATGGAATTTTTTTCAATGTTAGATAAACAGCAAAAGCTGATCCTAGATCAGTAATTCCAAGAAGTTTGATAAATGTGGGCCATGGTGTGGATAACTGTAGCTAAAAAATTAGCTAATTTCTCTCGCTTGCTCTTCCAGCAAGTACGGTCTCTACGAATGTACAGAAACAGCATAAAGTCAATATAAGGGCCTCCATGCACACACACACCCAGCAGTGAGGGAAGAGTAACTTTACGGAAGTAATAATTTAATGAACATTTCCCCTTTTGCTTTGTCGCAGTTGTGTAAGTAAATTTTTTATAGTTGGTTCATTAATTCATGAGGACATCTGTTTTCAGAGTTTTCACTTTACTTGCTTGGACAAGATCAAGCTGCTAACTGTTCGGACAGATGACTGTCCAGGTTAACTGAGCCTGGTCTGTATAATTATGTTTTAGCAGGGCAGTTTCTTGCTAAAGCAGCATAAGCAGTCACTTCGTGTTTTCAATTATGTCCATTATGACCTCCTATGGACCCCTGGCTTAGGACCTCCAAGCAGCCATGGAACAGCCCTGTGTTTTAGCCTGTTTTATTCTACATTATTCTTTCAAGCACACCTCAGCCATTTTAGTAATGATTCATTTGGTCTAGTAAGACCACTTTTCAAGGATGTATTACTGACCATGCCAGTGGGCCAGTGCACAGGGACCTCTGACTGCCAAGAGAATGAATAACCATTGGCTGATAAATGAAATAGATGATTTTTGTTGCCATTCAAATGGGATGTCTAGCGTCCATCTTTACTCTTTGATGCGAGTCAGACTATTTCACACACACATTATCTAAACCACTTATTCTGGATCGCAGGAGCCTATCCCATTGGGCAGAAGGCAGTAAAAACCCTGAACAGGTCACCAGTCCATTGCAGGGCAGGCACATTGACGTATACAATCACACACATACGTTCACAACTATGGGCATGTAAATGTCTGATTGGCCTAATTGCATGTCTTAGGACTGTGAGAGTAAACCCACACAGACACAGGGAGAACATGCAAACTCCACACAGTAAGGACCCTGTTTCGTTGAGTTAACCCGGCCAAGTTAAATCGAACCCAGGACCTACTTGCTGCGAGGCAACAGTGCTACCCACTGCACCACCGTGCCGTCCTTGTTGGACTTCTTCTATTTTGGCATTAGAACTCGGTTTGGCTTGAAAGAAAAGGAGTCAAGTTTGTCTTTAGACACATTACTGAGGCTGATTTTGTTTATTTTGGAAACAAAAAAAGGACCTTGTTTTGCTCACATGGTATATAAACACAAACATAAATTATTGATTAATCTCAGTTTTGAGTACTTTATTTATTTATTTAGTTATTGATTTATTGATTGATTTATTTTGTAAAAACTTGTCTTGTTGGCCATCATCCCACAACAAACATTGCACTGTTTTGGTTCCCCATGCTCTAGTTTTTCTAAAATATAGCCTCTGTAACTAATTTTTTGATGCTTCTAACTTCAAATATGTTTTCCCATAACTTCAGAATTTTAATATTTTGCTAGCACTGTTGGGATATTTTAAGCACTCACAGACACATACACAGAAGGCACTTTGGTTAAAGTTCAGCTTAATCAGGACAGGTATATAAATGATAAACTTTATCACTCCCACAAACTCTAAATGAAATTTGTCACAGCTGAAGTTTCTAGTTTCTTATTATTTTCTGCAAATAAGACACAGAATTCCAGCATGTCCAGTAATGGCCTAGAGCTTATCACTCAGCTCCTGCCTGCCTCTTTGTTGATGGAAATGCCAACCTGAGGTATGGCTCCCTTTGATATTTCTCTTCACCATTGTACAGTCTGAAAATGTTTTCTTTTAAGATAATGAGCATGTCTGTTCTTGCACATCAAAACAACCAAAAAAAGTACTTTCATTCCTTCATTTTGTGCAACTATTGTAGATTTCAATGCATATAATTTTGTATTTTGTATTAAGATAATAACAAGATTTTTCTTTTTTTCACATGGTTGTGATTTTGTTAGCTTTAAATATATCTTAGGGTTTTTCATCACAGCACACTGAAAGCTGCACTCTGCTGGTTTGTTGAACATGTCTTGGAGTTCCAGGGACATGCTTGTGCTCATGCCAGATGAGATGACTAATTAAATGTAATCTGGATTCAATTATATGGAAATCACCCCTCTCAGTGCATCTGCTATGCAATTATGCCCTGCATGTGTTTGCTCATCAGGTGAAATCAACAAGATTACTTTGAAAATGCTCACCTCTGCTGGCTTGATTAGATTCCATCTGATGCAGCTCTATAAGCAGACTGAACAAAAGAAGTCCTCCACTACCCCAGTAAACTTCAGTCTACTCTGTAGAATATAACTGGGTTACACATGGAAGTGTCAGTTTTATCTCAGGGAGCGAAACTAGCTGTAACTGCATTTTTCACAGCCAAACTCATCACACCATCTTACCTCAAAACCCTAAATATGCTAATGTAAGTGATCATGAAGTAGAGGTGTCCTTCTCTGATTCATAGAAATGCTACCTAATAATGTTGTCCTCCATTGTCTTCTTCTGCCATAAAGGTTCAATTAACAGATTTCATATTTATTGACTGATAAAGTGATTCATAATAATTTAAATGTAAAATGTTTCTAAAATCTAATCTAAAATTCTTTGATTCATTCATAAAATTCAAAAAGTTTTGCCATGTACCAGAGATGTCAAAAATTTGCATCATAGTGAATGGTTTCATTTGTTTGATATAGACTCATTTGCATCATCGTTTTTTAGTGTTTATTTGTTACTATTTGCTTCCTTAAAGCTTCCTTAAAGCTTATTACCACTATTTTCAACCTTCAGTTTAGTGTTAGTGTTGATAGCAGCTGTT